ACCCGCAAACCCGATTCTGACTTAAGGCCGTCTTAAAATAGAACCACCCTTAGGCCACCGCGGCCCACAATTCTACATACCTTTTGCATCCCGGCAGACGGCTGGCCCAGATGCCTCCGGGATTCAGGCTTCTTCAGGGTTAGGGCTTAGGCTTTTTTGCTAGTTTAAATGAGGTTCTATTGTTCGAGTCGGTTGCTGTTAAGTCCTGCTCAATTCATCCCTTTAGTAGTACATCCTGATTGCTGCAACCCCCAGAGTACAGTAGAAGCCCAAAAGTTGGAAACCCCATAGCCTCAACCCTTAAGAGAAATGTATAGGGAACCCCAGCACGATTTGGCCTTAATCGGTTTCCAACTTTATGGGGTTTACTGTAAACCCTAAACCCCTAAACCCGAAATCCCAAACCCAAAACCCTAAACCCTAAGGCCTAAACCCTTTTAGTACCCCTTAGTTACTGTAGTCGTAAAACTCTCAAACCCCAAAGCCATAAGTCCTCAACGAAGCCCAGGTTCTACCAAATTTGTATTGGGAATTATGCGAGCTGTCAATAGAAACTGTCATGAACACACATGACTATACGTATCGATCTGGGATACTTGAGATGATTTTGTCATTTCCATTATTGTTTGTTTTTTCTACAGCCCTAGATAAGGAGGAGAGTTCTGTTTTCTGTGGTATTGATTGCACGCTGGCAGTAGCCTCCCGTCTGCGCGGGATGCTGGATTCAGGAAAGTAGGCAGATTTACCAGAAGAAGGAAGCCATGTTCACTAGGTACCTACCCTGATAGCTTAGCTTAAGTTCTTGTGAACTATCTTGATATAATTAGTTATCGAGAGAACACGGTAACTTAAAGTAGGTTCCTTAGCACCAGGATCCTTTTAGGGTAGTTCTGAGGGTTATTCAAAGGCTTTCTACAAGGGCTATGGTAAGGGTTTCTATAGGGTCTTCTAGAAGGATTTCCATAAGCATCACTGTATTGTTGGTGCCTGTGTTGTCTTTGGGTTGTCTCTCTCCTGCTCGCAGCCATTCAGCAGGCCAAATCTTTCCAGCAACAGGAGCACGCTTCTAAGCCCTCACACTCCCCAAACCCCTAAACCCTGAACCCCAAACCCCTAAACCATCAAATCCCCAAAGCCCTAGACTCTTCACACAATCAGCAGGAAAAAGGGAGCGACGAAACGCAGAGGAGGAGCTCTTTGAGCTGCAGCTTTGATAGATTCGTTCAAGGCCGTACCCAGAGGCCCCAAAGTAGTTCCTTTTTGGGCTGACCTTGTAGGATTCTAGATATGAACCCCAAAAGGAACTACTCTGGGGCTCTGGGTATAGTTAGAACAATATTAGTAACATTAGTAAGATGAGATCTTCGCCTCATACTCCCGTAAAAAACTGATTTCTTCGCTTGCAAATCCGTGTTGCGATCCGTTCGTCGGTTTTGGTCGGCAGGGCCGAATCTCAAATCCTAGTCACCATGTCGCTGAGTATTCAGGTGTGCTTGCCGCTGAGTGGCAGGACGGTATCACTGGATGCAGAACCGGAGGAGTCGGTGCATGCCTTCAAGCGCCGTGCCCAAAAGGCTTTGGCCGTTGGCAGGGGCCATCTCATGGACGCTTCTGGGGTCGCTCTGGATGGAGCTACTGCCCTGGCGGATGTCGAGTTGAAGAACGGCGATACCCTCATTTATCAGGTTGGGCAGGTCCATGTCTGTGCTAACATGGTTGCCTTGGCCGCTGTACTCGGTGACGGATCTGTTGTTACCTGGGGTTCTGCCTCCTATGGTGGCGACAGCAGTGCTGTGCAGGATCAGCTGAAGAATGTGCAGCAGATCCAAGCCTCTCACTACGCTTTTGCTGCTATTCTGGGCGACGGATCTGTCGTGACCTGGGGTGATAGTTGGAGTGGTGGTGACAGTAGCGCTGTGCAGGCTCAGCTGAAGAACGTACAGCAGATACAGGCTTCTACGGGCGCTTTTGCTGCCATCCTTGCCGATGGCTCTGTCGTTAGCTGGGGTGATGCACGCCTGGGCGGTAACAGCAGTGCTGTGAAGGAGCAGTTGAAGAATGTGCAGCATATCCAAGCGTGTGAGCACGCGTTCGCTGCCATTCTTGCAGATGGTTCTGTCGTGACCTGGGGCGATAGGCGCTACGGTGGTAACAGCAGTTCGGTGCAAGACCAGCTACAGAACGTGCAGCACGTCCATGCTTCTTGCAGTGCATTCGCCGCCGTGCTTGGTGATGGTTCTGTCGTGACCTGGGGTAGTGACCAGCATGGCGGGGATAGCACTGCAGTTCAAGATAAGCTGAGTACAGTGCAGCAGATCTATGCCTCTAACTACGCCTTCGCTGCAATTCTTGCCGATGGATCTGTTGTGACCTGGGGCCAGGCTACGTATGGTGGAGACAGTAGCGCTGTGCAGGATCAGCTCAGGAGTGTGAAGATTATTCAAGCTTCTGGCTATGCTTTCGCTGCCATTCTTGCAGATGGTTCTGTCGTGACCTGGGGCACAGATGGATCTGGCGGTGACAGCAGTGCTGTGCGGGATCAGCTCAGGAATGTGAAGATTATCCGAGCTTCTGGCTATGCTTTCGCTGCCATTCTTGCAGATGGTTCTGTCGTGACCTGGGGCACAGATGGATCTGGCGGTGACAGCAGTGCTGTGCAAGATCAGCTGAAAGATGTTGAGGACGTTCAGGGCTCTCAGTATGCTTTTGCTGCTATTCTTCGAGACGGTTCTGTCGTGACGTGGGGTGATAGCTGGTGTGGTGGTGACAGTAGTTGTGTGAAGGATCAGCTAAGAAACGTGCGACAGATCGTAGCATCTGAGAGTGCCTTTGCCGCCGTTCTTGCCAGTGGAGCTGTCGTAACATGGGGCAGTTCTGTAAGTGGTGGCCACAGCAGCTGCGTACAGGATCAGCTGATGAACATGTGACCCTCGGCGACCCTCAACCAAAAAGTAATGCCCTTCTTATTCGACGTCGTCCTACCGAACCCTAAACCCCCCTAAACCCTTCAAAATAGCAGAACCCTCTGAAATAGCAGACCTTAAACCCCAAAACACCCTAACCCCCAGAGCTTAACCTGGCTTCACAGGTGACTCCTCCGGTTGATGATATAAATCCTGCATGACCCATAATAAGGAATATACCATAGTTCCCATAGTTTAGGGTCCTTAAGGTAATGCAGGATTTATATCATCAACCGTCCAAACCCCGACTGACCGTCAGTCCGTCAGTTTAGGTAAGCCTCCGACGAGGACTCCCTGGTTTAGGGTCAGCATTTTAGGGTTTGGGATTTTAGGGTTTAGGCTTTAGGGTTTAGGAACGTCTAGGGGCCATGAGGGGTGCAAGTGCGACCCGGTGTGACTTGGGTTTTGCGGGGTTTCATGCATTTAGTTTATAAGCCCTCAACCCTAAGCCCCTACACCCTCACCCATCTCCCTAACCCCAAAACCCTAAACCCTAAGCCTTACGGCAGTGGGGCTTCATGCATTCAAAGAGGGGCTGTGGCCGGGCTCAAGAGCTTAGCTCAGATGAAAACGTGTGTGCAATTCTCTAAATTAGGGTCCCTTGGTAAGGTCCCCAACATACTGTTGATGATATAAATCCTGCATTACTTTAAGGACCCTAAACTATGGGGATTGTGGTATATTCCTTATTATGGGTCATGCAGGATTTACATCATTAGCCGTAGTAAGGCACCCTTGTATAAAGGACCCTCAAGAGGGACAGCAATTTTGAGAATGACCCATGTATACCCCAATGGTGTTCCCTGGTTGTGGGTCGGGTGTCCTACCTGAACGCCAAAAAACCCTAAACCCCTAAAGCCCTAAACCACTTATCCGTTGTTTAAGGAGTTACACACGGAAAGTCCCAACGCGCAGAAGCCGTAACACGAAGCCTTAGATCTGAACAGTTCATTAGTATCAGAGCCAACTTGGGTCCACTTCTTTTAGCACATATTTTTTCTTAATAGTATTTTGGTTGCATTGGAAGTGGTGTTGTGACTAATTGTTTTTTTCCTGCTATTGTTCTGACTGGTATTGTTCTCATTACTAGTATCATTATTTCGTTTGTCTGTTTGTTATGTTTAATTTCCCAGTCTTGGTACCAGTTAGTGTTATTCTTATAGTAATTGTTATTGTTAATATACTATTACTATTGTTTGTTTATTGCAATTCTTATTCTGCTTATTTGCTTGGTCATATTTATTAACACTATTGTTGTTTCTACAGTTGTAACTTTTTCCGCGTTGGTTATATGCTTATTGTTAATTTTAGTATGATCATTATTTGTAGTAGTCTGTAATTAGTATTACTATCTTGACTATTACTGGTAGTGTTATGTTTCTTGTTGGTATCGTTTATTTGTTCGTTTGTTTTCTTCCATAGTATTGTTGTAATTATTGTTGTTACTCCTGTCAATATTTCAAGTATATCATTGTGATTACTACCAGTGGTTGTATTCATTGCTGTTATTGTTATTACTGTGGTTGTTATGGCTATTATTGTCAGTATTGCCATTGCCGTAACCTTGCGAATGGAGGGGCAGTGTCATGGTGCAACACTCGTGGCAAAGTCGAGGCTGCACTCATGGTACGCACGGACCCATCGTCCACTGATGTTGGAGGTGCATAGTAGAGGGTAGCCTTTACTCTTGAACCCATCGTAATAGGATCGCTGCTGGAAGGACTCCTAAAAAATGTAATTGCCGTAAACTCTCTAAACTTGAAAACACTAAACCCTAAAGAATACCATATAATATATATATATATATATATATATATATATATAGTCTTTTGCTGCTCCCACGTCGAGGGTCTGGATTTTCCAATCTCCCTCAGCTTTCAACCCTTCAGGTAATCCCGGAGCCACTAACCGCACGGTTAAGGCATTGCAGAACCCAACCCTGAACTGTAAACCCTAAACCCTAAACCCTAAACGCTAAACCCTAAACCAAACCCTAAACCCTAAACCCTAAGTTAAGTCGGGAGGTGAGCTCGTCGAATGGGACCTAACTCCGGAGGGGGCCGTGTCAGTCTCAGACGGGGGTCCGGCTTTCGGTTCTCAATGTCCAGGAATTAGCGCTTCGAAGCTCGGGGGGGCGTAAGGTTCTAGTCTTTACTTGTTATGATATATGGTGTATATACTGGCGATTTAGAGGATTTCCGGCATAGTGCATTCTGTGAAGCCTCATAAGGTTGTGACTTGTGGACGGTTCAGGGCTTATGGGATCCACCGATCCACCCGTATCTTGTGTGTACGGAGTCGCAGTTTAGGCCCTGCAACACGGTGCCCACCCTTGTCCCCTAAACCCTACGCCCTTTGAAGAATCCCCAAATCCAGATCCAGAAACTCTCGTTCGTCGTTTAGGCACACCCTTCCTGCGAAAGGGGACTCCCGACTATAAAGCCCCAAACCCTGCATTCATCCTACTATTTGCTTAAGAGCCCCCAAAAAATAAAAAATATATTCCTTATGGGGGTATTATAGGGATTATTATTTTTATTTTTTGGGGGTTTCTTAAGCAAATAGTAGCATCCTTGATCCTGCATCCTGTGCTAGAGGCCCCCGCCGAAGGATCCCAAGGTTGACTCCTTATGACAAGGGCCCCTGAATAAGGGACCCGAATTTTCGAAAAAGCCCCAAAGCTCCAATAAATCCTGAACACTTAAACCCTAAGACCCTAAACCTCTAAACCCTAAACCCCGGAACCCTACCGGCCCCAAAGCCCTAAACCCTACCTTAAGTCCTTTAGTCCTTACCCTAAAGCCCGAAGGCCCGAAAAACCCCTAACCCCCGCTCCAACAAAAAACGCAGAAACCCAAAAGTTCCGAACGGTTTAGGGTTTAGGGTTATGAAAGTGTACTAGGGTTGATGATATAAATCCTGCACTACCCATAATAAGGAATATGCCATTATTTCCATAGTTTAGGGTCCTTAAGGTAATGCAGGATTTATATCATCAACAGTAGGGTTTTATGAGCCCGACCATTCGTCCCAGGCAGGAATCAGAATGCCTCCAATGTGCCCACAAGGGCGATCTTCAGCAACAAGGTGGCTTCACCTGGGTTTCTGATTTAGCATACAGTAAACCCCATAAAGTTGGAAACCGGGTTAAGGCCAAATAGTGCTGGGATTCCCTAAACATTACTCTTAAGGACTGAGGCTATTGGGTTTCCAACTTTTTGGCTTCTACTGTACGGTTTCTAGGGCTTGGGGACGGGTAGTTGGAGGAAGTAGTTTTGGTTTGAAGCCGTTGATGTAATCTTTCGTGCAGGTGTTTCAAGACTTGTGCCGAAGGTGTCGGTTCCAAGTCCTAAACCCTAGAACCTAATTAAGTCCTAAATCCTAATCCTGAGTCCTAAGTCGAAGTCTCCCATCCCAAACTCTAGTCAAGTCTTGAATCCTGTTCCTAAGTCCTAAGTCTTGAATCCCAACCCTAAGTCCAAAATCCTCAAGTTTTGGATTTACACCTCTCCGGCTCTTCAGGTCCTAGGTTTCGCCAGTGCCAATTGTGCTGTAGGAACCTGATGTTTAAACTTTAAACTAGGTGGCAATTTGGGAAACTTTTTAATTTCCCGTATGGTTCCTATAGAGGTACCTATTCATAAATACTTTTCAGAGCCCCAAAACTACATCCCAGTAAACCTTTTCCCTTTACTAGGGTTCCTTATATGAACCCTACTGACTTGGTGGTTATAGGCACAGGATTTCTTAATCAGGTTCCTACATTACTCTTTTGAACTTGTTGTCTTGTTGGGTTCCGTTCTTAACGCCAAATAGTAAAAAGAAGGGTGCCGTGATTAAGGGGCCACTGGGGAACCTAGAGTCGTGGTGGCACACTTAAGGCTCCACAGCCGAAGTCGTAGGCCGACATCTGCGCAAGCCCAAGGATCCAAAGCCTCAGCGCCCTTCACCACCCTAAACCCTAAACCTTGAACCCTGAACCCCTAAACACCCAATCCCGAATCGAAGCCTTATAGGAAGCCTAAGAAGGAACCCTTGCAAAGGACCCGATAGTTGGGTGTACTTGGATTTATGATCGCAGTTGTGTAGGGCAGTATTTGGGAGAGTATGTGAGTATTAGCTACTTCGACCCTGCAGGTAAGGGGTTAGGACAATTAGGATTTAGGCTTCTAGGTCTAGGGTTTACAGTAGGGTGTAGGGTTCTAGGCTCAGGTTTAAGGGTGTATAGATGGTTGAAGCCTTCCCGTTTGGAATCTATCAATGGTACAAAGTCCTGATATGGTCGGCTGACAACCTCCTGCGAAGCTTAGCGTCGGAGCCACTGAGCCGGAAACCCTAAGGCGCTGGTGACCCCGAAGCGCTGAACCCCTCTGCCATCCATAAGCGCTATATGAACCCGACGAAACCTATACCCAGCAACCCCTAAATGAAGGAAACTCAACGAAACCCCTAAACGAACTCGAGAAGGAACCCAAAACCCAAACCCTTCCGGGCAAAGGGGCTCTTACCATCCCTAAACCCTAAACCCTGAACCCTAAACCCTCAACCCCTAAACCCTAAACCCCTAAACCCTAAACCCTTATGTAGCTCCGAATGCCTGAGCCACTGGCCAGGGTGGGGGAGCTTCCATAGGCAAGGGCAAGGCGCAGAAGCTGCTGTTTGGGATTTTCGAGGGCTTAGGATTTCAGCACCCAGGGCTTCGTTCTTCCAGATTTGGTTACTTTTGTTCGGAGAGGGGCCTGCTTTTGCAAGATGTCCCATCAACGCGTAGGGAGCCAATCACCTGAATGATCGGTTGCTTGTAAAGCCTTACAAACAGTTACGAATAGTTATACCTGAGGGGTTCTTGTTCTATTCGGACCATATTACACCCCAGAATCCTGCTTTGTTTTTCTGATTCAGGCTGCTCGGGCGTCCGCGACCTTTATAGTATGTATATATATATATGTATATATATATATATGTGTGTGTGTACAAATAATTACTTATATACATATATATATATGTGTGTGTGTGTGTACAAGTGTATCCTGGTCGTATATGCTCCATGCAGCAATGTCGCAGAGGCATCATAAGCCATGAGGCTTTAGGATTTGCGGGGTCGGAGTTTAGGGATTAGGAGTTCGGGGCTCATTCTGTTCCGCGAAGACGCAGCCTTCTGATAGCCGGAACGGGACAACTCGTCGTAGTGGTTCGTGTTTAAGTAACCCTCATAGTTTAAGGATCCGTGTACAGGCGTAGCATACACTTTTACTATGTAACGTTTGAAGGAACCCGGCATGGGCAATGTGCCGGTTCCTATAACCCTAACCCCTAAACCTTTGATGAACTGTGCCTGGAGCTTCCAAGCGACTCGGACTCAGCCACTGGACAGCTAAGGCTGTGAACATGGGGCCTTAGTAAGCTTTAGGATTTAGGGTGTTGGTTTAAGGTTGGTTTTTTTTTAGCGTTTAGGGTTTGTGGGTCCTAGGGTTTCGGACATGGGGCCTGTATGGTCTTAGAGGTTCGGGGTTGTAGTTGTAGGGGGCTTCAGGCGTTGAGTTTTTAGCCGGAGTTCCAGGTTTCAGATTGCGACATAGGTGCACCTAGTGGTTACACCGGCCTAACCCCTGCACTCAGGGGAGTGCCCCAAATAACTTGCAAGAGCGACAGGATTCATGAGGCTGTTCGCCCTAAACCCTAAACCCCTAAACCCTAAACCCCTAAACCTTAAACCCTAACCCCAAAACCCTGAACCCTGAACCCCACCACTCACAAGCCGGGGCCTGAAAATCCCGACCGCTCGGCCAGGATGGCAAGGGCAAGGAGAAGGGCAAAAGAGAGCCCCGACAAAACTTCCAGTCGCAGAAGGAGATGGACAAGGTAGGCTGAGGGGAGGGTCTTACAGTGGATCCCAGAAACTTGGAACGTGGATTAAGGATGATTAGTGCTAGGATTCAGGATTCCCTATACTTTACGTTGAGGGCATCAAGATAATGATATTCCAACTTTCCGGCTTCTACTGTATTAAAGACGCCTTAATAATTCTAACATGATTTTGGGGGCCAATACACTATAGTTATAGTAAGGACCCCCCCAAAAAATAGTCTTGGTAGTTATTTAGGTCATGATATTAAGCTGAGGGGAGGGTCTTAACGTTTTGAACCTTCCCTAAGGGTCCATGTATCCAAATAGAGAATATACATTAGCCATCAAGTAGTCCCTATTTAGGTACTCTGGAGCCCAAGGTATAATATACTATTTGGGCACATGGACCCTTAGTGCTTGTTCCTACAAGAGTGGTTTCAGGATTTTCTGGTTTCGGGCATGTTAGGGCTCCTTAAGTAAAGGGTTCCGGGGATTCACAAGGTCTCTAGACGAGTTCTATATAGTAGGTTTGAGGTTTTTCGGTTTCACGGCTTACGGTTCTATAGTAGGCTTGAGGGGGTCATGGCTTTCAGGGGGTCTACGGGTTACAAGGGTTTCGCGTCTAAGGGTTTTATAGGGACTACTTAAAGGGCCATGGGACTTAGTAAGGGTAGCTATACTTATAATTAACCCCAATCAGGCTACTTATAACCTTGTACTTGCTAAGTCCCATGATCCTCCGAGTATAGCACACGCACGCACACATGCGCGCTCGTCGATCCTGTGCTGGGCTTTTGGAGTTTACCATGCTTGGAAGGAGGATCATGGGACTTCGTAAGTCAGGTTACAAGTACCCTAATTGGGGTTATAAGGAACTATAAGTACAAAGACGTTAATTAATAATACCCCTAGTTACTAAGTCCCACGATCCTTAACTGGCACCTCCAGAGCACTCTGAGAACAACAGATTCAGCCTCTAAGTGAGCACGATCATTGATTGTGATTTCGCTGTTCGGCTTGATTTGTTTGTCGCACTCGTTCCACCAGGAAGAACCAATACTGTTCGTTAGGCCTCCTTTTTTCAGGCCCCCATCTTAGACTTGCATCCTGAATCCCGAAAGCCTGGATCTAAACCACCCTAAACCCTCAACGCCCCAAACCCTCATACATCCTCGTACCTAAATTTAACCCAACCAGCTAAAACGGCCCAGACGTCCCACAGAGGCCTATTCGGGCTCTTGCAAGGTTAAAAGGGTTTAAGGATGCCAGTTTTTTTGGCTGAGCGGGAACGCATTTCCAGGCTTTATGAGGCTGATACTTTACAGCGCTTATAGGGTTGATAGTTTATAGGGTTATAGGCCTTATTATAGCAGAGTTAATAATAGCTTATAGGGTTGGTAGGTTTTAGGGTTCAGAGTTGTGTGAACCTTATACCAGAATATACCCTGAACACGAGGCTTCCCATACGCCCCAAACCTCAAATCGCAAGGATCCCAAGGCCCTTCAAGATCAAAGTTCGGAGCCAGAGACGCCCTATAAAGACGTCGAGCAACCATAGAAGAAAGATTACATAGCTCCAAAACCAAAATCCAGCAACGCCCGGAGCATGATAACTTCATCCTAAAGTCAGCACACTTGAGAAAAGGGGGATGTTCCCAAAGAGTACATACTGTTGAACCCTAAGGATTAACTGAAGGCCAAAGTATACCCCCAAGGGTCCAAGTACCCAATAATCATATACTCCCCAAAATCCTGACCTACATAACTACTGTCCTAAAACCGACTACCTAATTATTGGGTCCTTTGGACCCTATCGCACAGATCCCTCATAGGTCCCTTTAAGGAACCTTTTGAGGAACCATCTAAGTTACTAAGTCCCATGATCCTTTAAGTAACCCTAAACCCCTAAACCCTAAATCCTAAACTCCCTTTTCCCAAGCGGGGCGAGGCCAAGGGCAAGGGCCGCACCGCCTCGACCCTGTCGCCTGCGGAGCAGCTACTTGGGAGCAAGCACCCACGGACTCCTAGGGTTCCGTTAAAGGGATCTAGAGGAGTTCCTTTAGGGGTTCCTAAAGGCACCTATAGGGTTTAGGGGTTTAGGGGACTCCAATATCCCTTAACTTAGAAATATACAAGAAACTATAGTAGGATCCCCAATATGATAGAAGGTATATTCCTTCATAACCAAGGAATTTACCGTAAACTATAGTAGAATCCTTTTAGTATGATTTAAGGTATATTCCTTAATAGAGGGATGCTGGAGTCTCTGGGCAGTCCCACGAAGCCGCGAGGTAGGCTTCATGGGGTTCAGGGTTTTAGGGGTCTAAGTCTAGGATGTGTTCAAGGGCTTATGGCATAAGTTTATGGCTTATGGCCTTTTGGGGTCTTTGTGCGTTTCGGGGTTTAGGATTTAGGTTTCAGGTGTTTCGGGGTCGATGTGATTGAATATTTCTACAGGGTGTGGCGATGGTTTGGCGATCAGGGGTTTCGGGTTTCAGGCTTTCGGGTGTGAGGGGTTGTGGGCGTTTCTCGAAAGTTTAGGCTTTGATGGTATCGGTTCAGGAGCTGGACTTGGGATTTCAGCCTCAAATCTACCCTAAGGCCCTAAAGTAGTTCCTTTTTGGGTTCATATTTAGAATCCAATTAGGTAATCCCCAAAAGGAACTACTTTGGGGCCTATGGGTATCGGCTTTAAAGAATACCAGCTGCTACTTTTGAATTTTTCAACGCTGAGCCGGACAACCCATCGGACCCGTCCCTCTAGTCTCGATTCTTGGAGGGTCGGGGGACTTAGTAAGTAGGTAGTAAGTAGACTTCCTAAGTACCCTAAAAGGGACCCTAATTGGGGTTATGGTACTTATAAGTCCCTAACATAACCTGTTACTAAGTCCCCCGACCCTCCAAGTACCTGATGCCCTACTTAGAGGCCCAGGGGACGTAGTAAGTAGGTTATAAGTACCGTAAATGGAGGTACCCTAATTATAACCCTACTTATAACCGACTTACTAGGTCCCCTGTGCCTCTAAGTACCCTGCCGGCCGAAGAGCTATCGGGTCGGAAGTAGGTTTAGGGTCTAGGGTTTAGGGTTTAGGGTAGAATGACAACGAAGTTGCGGTCTGCAACTGGAATTCATCAGGGAAGTGGTGCGGTATGCGGACGTTCACACCCTAAGGGCCGAAACTAATCCGAGCCGAAATACGTCTGCAACGACGGAAGCTTGAAACCCGAAGCAACCATAATCTAAACCCGAAGCCCCTATAAGCCCCTAAACCCTAAAGCCCTAAACCCTGAATAGGCCCCCGCCCCACTGAACCTGAAGAGCTCCGGTGCTTTGGAGAAACCAACCTTCTGCCCAAACCTCCTTGGGTTCAGGATTTAGGTAGGTTTGCATATAGTGTGTGTTAGGTCATATAGCTTCGTGGAAAAGAGGAAACCTAGTCCAAGATAGTCCAAGTACGACTGTTGTGGTGAGCATGACACTAACAACTGCAGGTGTCTTATTCCTTGTGTCTTGGTTCTTGCCCACACGTAGGACCAGAGGTACCAAAAACTATAAGTACCCACCTACCCAGAGGCCATAGTAGTTCCGTTTTAGGTGAGCCCCAAAAGGAACTACTATAGGGCCTATGGATAAATCCTAAACCCTGTTCGAACTATCAAGGCCCTTGTACTATAGAACCCTAGTTACTATAGATCCCATTAAGGAACCCTTGAAAGGAACCCACCAACCCTAAACCTTTTTCTGATTATTAAGGCCCCTGTACTGTAGAACCCTAGTTACTATAGATCCCTTTAAGGAACCCTTGAAAGGAACCCACCTCTGGGTAGACCGTGAACTCGAGGCATATTGCGAATGCTGCCGCAAGAGCGCAAGGCGGCGTTGCGCAGGCACGGCCCCTAAACGCCTAAACCCCTAAATCCTAAACCCCAAACCCCTAAGCCCTTCTTTCCAGTGCTCGGGGTTGGAAGCTTTAGGGTCCCATTCCTTAAGGCTCTATGTACTTATAAAGTTTTTATGTTTGACCCCGGACCACCTATGTAGGAACCCCTGTAAGGCCTAAGTATATGCCTCATGGGCACACGGAGCCTTAGGAATTCGGGACTGAAGAGCACTAGCCGCAAACCGTCAGGCTACACGGGTCACAGAAGGCCTCAAGCGCCCCAGGTTTAGGGTTGAGGGTTTAGGGGTTTGGGGCTTAGGGTTTAGGGGTTTACGGTTTAGGGTCGCCCCAAACAAGTGGGATCGACTGCAGCTGGCCAGAACCACTCACCGCGTCTTTGTACCGTTCTACAACTCCCATCTTTTATTTGGGCCCATGTAGTATGCATAGGATTCCCTGATATTTATGCCATAATGGACCCCCTCATCCGATTCTGGCTATGAAGGCCTTTGTAGTTCAGGCATCAAAGCCTGCAGGGCATGGGTTCGAGGAGAACAGACTTGATCCTGGAGCCCTCAGCGTACCCTCTTGAGGCCCGAAACCCCAAAGCCCATTTTAGGTACTGAAGGGTCCTGGTTTGTAGGGTTCGTCTTCTCCGCCTGCTTGTGGCCTAGGATCCAAGCTTGGAGGCTTTCAGCGTGCATTTGCGGTTCTTTCAAGCTCGATTTTGGATTCAAGAATAAGGCTTAGGTTTGGGTCCAGGTGTTTGTACACGTAGTGGCCTGCTTCTGTGTCCAGGAAGAGCCTTCGATATGGGAGTCTGCGTTTGAGCCGTCCTACATCCACGGCTGCTTCTACTTGACGAGCTTTTCGGCTACTATGGGGAGCTGGGGGGTGTCCGGTTCGGGAATTCCGGCTTGCTCTGCTCCTTCCATATCCATTCCCTAAAGGCCCAGGTATCTATGTGGTACATTGTGCGGCACTACGGTTGATGATACAAATCCTGCATTACCCATGATAATAAGGAATGTGCCATAATTCCCATAGTTGAGGGTCCTTGAGGTCATGCAGGATGTATATCATCAACAGTATGGCACTGTGGTACCTATATAGGAGCCCCGTCTAAGGCCAGACTCGATGAGAATCTTTGTAGTTGGAGTGTGGCGCGTACACGCGCGTGTAGTTTTTGCAGGTTTTTGCATGTTTTGCGGCTTCGGGGGGTGGGGGGGGTGGGGGGGGTGGGGGGGGGGCTTAATGACGAACCTGTTCTACTCTTAGCAGTTCTACTACTGCTGATGCCTGCTGCTTTTTAGTGCTTTGTGTTCAGACTAGCTCTACTACTGCTGATGCCTGCTGCCCTTTAGTGCTTTGTGTTCAGACTAGCTCTACTACTGCTGATGCCTGCTGCCCTTTAGTGCTTTGTGTTCAGACTAGCTCTACTACTGCTGATGCCTGCTGCCCTTTAGTGCTTTGTGTTCAGACTAGCTCTACTACTGCTGATGCCGTGAACGAACCCTACACCCTGTACCGCTTGAAGCCTTGATAATAACCCTAGACCCTGGAACACAGCCTGGGTTCAGTGCTCCACTTCCGAACTCTGAAGCATGCCCGACGGGGCGCCGAGCATGCGAGACGACGAAAAGGCCACTTTCCGCAACAACTACTTGCGACCAAGTACTCAAACAGCCTGCCCCCCAATGTAGGAGAAAAAAAAGCCTGATCTCTTGAAAACCCACCCCTGCCGATGTATTATGCACTTCCATCGCCCAGTTCAATGCGAGCAAGTAGTCAAATAGCCTCCCCCCCCCCTCAAATAGGCATGCGTTGCCCGGAATGCTGAAAACCCACCCCTGCCGATGTTTTCTGCACGTCCATGACCGTTTTCAATACAAGCAAGTAGGCAAATAGGCTCCCTCCTAAAATAGGCATGCCTTGACCGACATGCTCAAAACCCGCCCCTGCCGATGTTTTCTGCACGTCCGTCGATGAGAACATGCCTTTTGTACCACGCGCGGGAACGCGCCACGAACCTTGTAGTTCGGTCGGTCTCGGTTATGTTCTTCGGGATAGCTTATCCCAAGGGGACACCACCAACAACTGAGGTCTAGGTTTAGGGTTTAGGGTCTAGGGCTTAGGGCTTAGATGGCTTTTCTTGGTCTTCAACCCCTTCTTGCCATCTTCCCATGAGCCTGGGAATTTCTAATACATCGTGGCATAGGCGGCATGGAACTAGGTAGGCCTTTGTGACATTTTATATTTCCCCTTATTGGGCTTAAAAGGACCCTATTTACGAATATATTTGAGAGGCTTTAGAGGGCCAACCTAGGGAAGCCTGCTCGGCAGGATGCACTGAGACCGACTGAACGTTGCTTCCAAAGCCCTCAGCTTCTTCGAACGACGTAAACCGAAGTGGTAAATCCTAAACCCTAAACCCGAAAGGCCTAGCCCCCAGGCCAAAGAGCTTCGAAGACTTTAGCAGATTGAAGGCTCAGAGTTTCGGCCTTGAAGAATGCCTTTTGTGCCCATTCCGCAGGATTAGAGAAGGTCTTGAGGGATAGCCTAAGTTCCACGGATGGTTGGGACTGAAGGTATGTGCTTAAGCTGAGGATTCAAGCGCTCCACGAACCATGAACGCTGAACCCTAAAGCCTATGAGCCCTCAAAGCTTCTTCTTATCCCCAACCCCAACAAAAAGAGTCTCATGCCGACTGTTTCCTTACCTTTGGTCGGTAGGGAATGGAGGAATGGGGCACAATTATAACTACTGTTACTACCATTCTTCCATTCCCTACTATCCAAAGGTAAGACAAAAAGAGTCTCATGCCGACTGTTTCAGGAGATGATAAGATAGCACTGGAGCCACTGCTCACTCCTTTGGCTGAGGGCCTGGAGGACTACTGGGCTTGAAATTTCGCGGGGGCTATTGGGTTCCTGTAGCCGAAAAGACTTACCCTTTTAGGGTTCCTTATTATGGCTTCGGTAAATAGTACCCTTAAAAGGTGGGTCTTTTCGGCTACAGGTTGGGTGTAGGGCAAGTTCAGGGTTTAGGGCAAGTCTAGTGTTGATCGGGGGTTCTATCAGGTTGGTAGAGTTCAGGGTTTGACGGTTTGAGAGTTTAGGGCTGAGGCTGCACGAAATGATGCCAACGACCTTGACCCCATGGCAGTCCTGAACTGATACTGGTTGATATAGCCTCAAAAGTGACTGTACAAGCATTGCCAGCGTGAACCGTGCGAAGTTCGCACCACGACATTGTCATTGGTCTGACCAGTGCAAGCAATGAGAGCTCGTTGAACATTGCGACAACCTCCGCCTCAAGATCCCGGTGGCGACCTATTCATCTGCAGCCTATTCAGTACAGAGGCCTAAATAACTACCTAGACTATTTCGGGGGGGCTCCTTATCATAATTACAGTATAATGGGACCCAAAACCCTACCCTAATTATTAAGGCCCCCTCAAATGCAGCCTTGTTGGGATTCTTGTGCAGCCTGAGTCTACAGTCCAAGTGATTTGACGAGCATTTCATCCCAAAGGGTCCTATGTACTGTTATGGGGAATACTTCCCCAAGTCATAATCGTAATTCCTAATTCCTAATATAGAAACCCTACTTAAAGGATCATGCGACTTAGTAGCTATGGCTATTATTAGGGTAATGATACTTATAACTGATAACCACTTATAGCTCCAATTAGGGTACTTATAACCTTACTTACTAAGTCCCATGATCCTCCAAGTACATTCTACTATATCGGTACTTTGGACCCTTTGGGCATGCAATCCCCAGACCAGTGACCCGATGCCCGCACGTCCGAGCAAACCCTAGAGCTGTGGAACACCCGAGTACCATTGGGTCCTGGTGGTGAATATAATAGGGTTTAGGTTTCCTTTAAAGGGGTCTATAGGGGTTCCTTTTTAAAGGGGTCTATAAGAAATACTACAAGGGGTATGATGGGGTTTAGTATAGGGGCCTAAATAACTACCATTACTAGTTTGGGGCTTCCTTTTTTTCAGCATAATCGTACAACGGGCCCCAAAACCTTATTCTAATTATTAAGGCCCCTAATATCTATATTATGCCAGAAGTCCCAGGCTTTAAACCCGACCGGTAAGTTGGACTCCAACCCTACCTGCGTTAAATATTAACGACTTACATACCTCTCCCTTCAGCCCTAAACCCTACACCGAAACCCTGAATTATGCAGGAACCCTGAAGCCTAACCCAAGAAAACAGCAAAACCGAAATCCTCGGAGAGTGCCTAGTCTGCAAGGATGCTGCCGAGGGTCTTCCCGAGGACATCGTGGAAGAAGCACAGGACGGTCCGGGTTTAAGGTTTAAGCTGTCTAGGGGCCTCTTATGGTTTAGGGTCTTCGGCTTCAATCCTTGTTACCAGTATCACCATACTATCAAAGGGGAAAAGGTGGGAGCTGTCTAATGGGTATAAAATAGCTATATTCAGGGATATACCTAGGCGTCCTTATTAAGGGTCCCTCCTTTTACCCTTGGATACTAACGTATCCCCAAAAACCAACTAGATTGTTCAGGCCCTGCTTTCAAGTTTCAGGGCGTGGTAAGCTAGACACCAAGCCCTATACCCCCAAACTCGGAACCAAAAAAACAAGAAAATCTCGGAACCCAAAGCCCCAAGATTTTGAGCTTGAACCAATTTAAGACGGTTTTCAAACGATCTTCGAGCAGGGCAGCTCCGCATGCTGGAAGCGCGCAGATGTTATTGCCCCGTCCGTGAGCCTAAGCCACATCCAGAGGCCAGAGGCTTACCGAGAGAGCTCGTTAATTTCCCGTTAATACAGGAAAATCCCTAAAATCTTGAATCATAATATTAAGTCCCCTATAATTTAAGGTATATTCCTTATAAATTAGGGGGTATTGGGCTCTCCCCTTGACCAAGCAGCGCAAGCCTGAGAACCGCACAGGACACTCCTCAGTCCTATAGCTTGTATACTGTGCCGATTAAAGGGTGTGAGCGGGAGGTCGGGGGTGGGGAGGGGCGGGGCATTTCTCATGTGCAAGTACTGTTTTATGTTCTGTATATCTATGTGAGTTGTTTTTCATGTTGACGAAGGCGCACTTGGAATTTTGCTTGCTGGGTGAGCCCCGACCCGAGGGTGGATTCGTTGCTCTAGTGAGCATGTACCCCTGTACTTCAACACAAACTCCATGCTTGACAAGCCGGATGTTCGCGGGTCCATCTTCGTTTGGCTACGCAGATCACAACAAATAGAAAAAAGTCCGGTTGCACATGACTTATTTGCATATGTGTACATTGTACATATAAATACTCTTACATGCGCGATTGCCACTCTTCTTCTTCCTCCAGTTTATAGGGGTTAGCGTTAGGGGTTTCGGTTTTGTAGGGCTTTATAGTCCTTTGGGTTCCTCGGTGGGCCGTTCCAACCCTTCGTCACGCATTCAGGAGCATTTGCAGGAGCTCGGGATTCAGACTCCGAAGTCACAGAACGACTCCAAGCCGCATTCTTGGGTTCGGTGCTTTTCATTATTGTTCTTGGGTGCCGGGCTTATGCCCCAGGGTTTAGGAGAGAAATTTTGCGATTGCTTTCGCGCAAGATGGTCGGGTCTTTGAAAACGCCCATGTAAGGAATGTTACTGCTTTGTCTTTGACCAAATGGTCCATATACCCTAATTACCGTTCTATCAGGAGCCCCAAGACCAGAAGAAGATGGTCTTTTGGGCAACCCTTGAGGGTAGTACAAACAAAATATCTGGGAAACACAGGTCGTCCTGCACTCTGGAAGTCCTGCCTGAAGCCCTTACATAGGCTAAACCCTATATACGACAAGCCCTAAACCCTAGGACCCTAAAACCCTAAACCCTAAGCCTTAAACCCTAAGAGAGTCAGACCTGAAACAACCGTCTTCGGTCAGTAGTGAAAAGGAAAGACGCATCACACTTACGGCGATAAGCGTCAAGGCAGCATCAGGCTCAGGAATCTTCAGAAAGCCATCGCTGCAGGTGACACACAGAAGCTACAAAATGCACATGAGCTGCAATCGAAGATCGAGAATTAAGCGGATGTTGTGGCATAAAGACCAACCGCAAGAAATTCTCGTTTGAGAGCTGGGCAACATCGATCACATAACTTCGCATACGACTCTGCCAGATCTGACGCTGCTCATCAAATAAGGGACACTCTCGCAACCCATGCAGAAGACTGCAGCTTGGATTGCCACACAAACACATATGCTGCACGAAAGCGTCCCCTGCACGGTGACGTGCACTGCGCCCATCCGGGAATGGATGATGCCCACACCGGGCCAAAGTCCATTCACGTGCAACGTGTGTCGGAATCCTACCACCGTGCACTTGCACGTCACACTCAAGATAGGGATGATATGCCAGGAAAGGCCTCAAGGAAGACACGGTCACAGCTTCTGAGTGGTATTGTGCCCATGCCTGATTCTGTACGAGCGGCCGGACTACCGACCTATTCCACTGCAGCTGCGCCGCTAGAGCACCCGGCACCACCCCACAAGCAGCCGGCAGAAGACCGCCACTGGATTGTAGCTGCAGCTTCACGCCGTGAGCCCAAGACCCTGGCGAGTGCACAGCAAAGTGAAACACCCGACTAGCCAAAGTACGAGCGTCATGCGTGCCGCCAGCAGCACATAGCCGGCCAAATAAGCTGAATTGCAACCGGCGAACTTCAACTGACAGAGGGCGCCAGCCCAACTCGCCCACAACAGCCGCTCCGGGTGTGCCCCGAGGCCACAAAAGCAGACGGCGCCCAAATTGACGCATTTTCTTGTCCAGCATGCGGAGGGCAACATCATCTAAGAATTGAGAGCCGTACAAGAGCGATGGTAGCACATACGAGCGAAAGAGACTCGCGCGGAAGCTGGTGCACAAACCTCGGTTCTCCGCCCAACCCAGGCACAGATGGAACTTGCCAGTGCTCTTGTCAATACGGTGCGCGGCATGCTTTTGCCACTTCCTGGAGGCTTGGAACACCACCCCGAGATAACAGTATTGACTGACACATGGCACTGCGGCTCCCTGAAGGTGGAACCTGAAGCTAGAGGAACGTGAGCCGACCACAAGAACAGCGGTTTTGTCAGGACCAATGCCAAAAGAGAACCGCCACTGCGAGCCCCATGCGCCTACAGCGGTGAGAGCACTTTGCAAGTCCGACGGGTTGTCGGCAAGGATGACAAGATCATCAGCGTACAACAGCAAGGTGACCCGCGGTGCATTGGGACCGCTACCAAGCGCGACGCCTGGGCAAGCTGCACGAACAGCTTCAGCAACGCTGTCAAACAGAAGGTTGAACAACAGCGGGCCCAAGACACTGCCTTGCCTAACCCCAGCCTGTTCCGACCAAGGCTCAGAAAAGGAACCGTTAACAGAAACTCGCGCAGTGGTATTGGTGATCAAATCCGCAATGACTGACCACAAGCATCCTGTGACTCCGGCAGAAGCCAGCTTAAGTAGCACAGCATCCCGCCATGCCACGTCGAAGGCCTTCCGCACGTCCACAAATGCACAGAATGTGCGACGACCCGCCCGAAGACGAAGCGTTTCTGTCAGGGTGTAGATTTGCTCCTCAGCCCCCCACCGGAACCCAGCCTGACTCTCATCGAGCAAGGGATCAATGTGCGGCAGCAATCGCTTCAACACAAGTCGCTCAAATATCTTCTGGCAGCTGCACAACAAGCTGATCGGCCGATAATTCGTGAACTGGTCTGCAGCACCACCCTTGTGGAGAGGAGCAACGACAGCAGAACGCCACACAGTCGGGACGATCGACCAAGACCGCACAAGCTCGAAGAATACCAACAGCGCGGAGCGTAAGCACGGATCCTCAACCCGGAGTGCTTCGTAGGGCAAGCCATCTGGACCAGGAGAACGCTCACAGGGAAGCTCCTGCAACACTTGAAGCAATTCAGCCTCCGAAAACGGAAAGTCAAGGTGACCAGTGTTAGCAGGCATGGAAGCCCTCAACTGTCGAACCGCGCCTTCAACATCAAATGATTGCGAATCGGGGTTCACAACAGCAGGCCGAGCATTCAAAGGCACGTCGCGGAAGTGAGCACGCCAAGCATCTAAGCAAGCTGGACCTTCAATAAAGCTATCGTGAGGGTCAGATGAACGCATGGCACAAGGTAGCACACGCCGTCGCATCCCCATCTGCTGACGAATGTTTTGCGCTGCCATGCGGGGGTTGTTACGGGCCAATTGCTCCTGCGAATCAAGCCACGTATTCCAGAACTGGGCCTTCTTGCGACGCACAAGATGGTGAAAACGAATCCGCTTGGCACGAAACTCTGCTCGAGCAGCAGGTGTTCTCTCACGCTGCCAAAGCCGATAGGCCGCGTTTCGTGCAACCATCAGGTCGTAACACTCAGAATCCCACCAGTCTGGCTGGGGACGACGCGGGTGCGGGGAACTACGCGCCAACTGCCCTGGCAAGCTCCACAGCAAGGCTACAAACTCACCGTAGAGAATATCGACAATTGCCCGCTTGGAGTCAACGCTTGCAGTGTTGCACTCGTCTCGGAGATGCAATATTCGCGACGCCCACCTGAGGAGGTCAGGGCGCACGGTGCAAAGAACAGCACGCCAATCCCGGACTTTGGGCCAACGCGGAACCTTTGACACAGCTGCTGGCGTCACCAACACATCAAACGTAATAAGCCGATGGTCACTACCGAGGACTGGATGGCAACATGGAGAGGGACAACCACATGAGACGCCATCATGGACAACCACGTTTCTCACATCCAACGACCGAGATGCAAGCACCAAGTCAATAGAGGAACCGGACCTGTGAGTGGCAACGTGCATTGGGTTAAGGATGGATAAACCAAAGTCGCTCAGGAACGCGCGGATTACAATACGCAACTGAGTTTCGCAGCTGCGCTCCCTGCCCGCATCCATGACTTCAGACAAATACACATTGGCGTCACCTGCCAAAAGCAACTGTGCACCAGGGTAGAGCTGCAAGATGTGCTGGACGGATGCCCGTAAATGATTCCAGAAGGCGAAACGCTCAGGCATGGACATCCCAACATGTGGAGCATAATAGCTGCATATCAGAATTTTTGCTTCATCAGGTGATGTCGCAAGGACTCTCCAACGGATACGAGGAGACAGCCCAGCAGACGAGACAGACCACGAAGCGGATGCAGAATGAACGAGGAAGCCGGCTTCACAACCGCCCAGACCCGTGGGGCCATCATAGCTGTAAGGCTGATCAATCGGAAGCGACGCACCATCTGGCGCCCGAGTTTCTTGCACGCACACCAAATCCACAGACCACGACTCTAACAAACTCGACAACCCATGAAAGCCAGCATGCTCAACCCCGCTCGGCGACCAAAGATGATTCGCGTTTAGAAGCGCCAAGCTCAAGCGGGTCGACCCCCGTCGCGCCGGCGATGACGACGGAGGCCGCTGGCGTTTCCCTGATTCGCAGCGGCACGCAGAGATTCTGCAGAGGCGCGGATGTTTTCAGGCAGTGCCGACAAGTCATGGGGCAAAGCTTCACAAACATCCCGCAAAACCCTAAAACCCTAAACCCTAAAACCCTAAAACCCTAAACCCCTAAACCCCAAAACCCTTTTTCGGACATCCGAGGCCCTGGCAGTGGTTGGCCCACGCCTTTGTCGCGAGTTCTGGGATCGAGACCTCGAGGCTCGAGGACACCCGGAGTTTAGGCTTTAATGTACCTACTTGGAGGGTCGGGGGACTTAGTAACTGGTTGTTTTAGGGACTTATAAGTACTATAACCCCAATTAGGGTAGCTGTTAGGGTACTTATAAGTCTACTTACTACCTACTTACTAAGTGCCCCGACCCTCCAAGTAGAGGCTCATACCTTACCCTTGTTTTAAAATGAAAAAGGGGTAGGGTATGAGCCTCTAGGTAGGGGCCTAAACAATCCTTCTAAAGGGATCTAGATCTATAAGGGTTCCTTTGAGGGTTCCTGCAAGGGATCTATATGGTTTAGGAGTTTAGGGTTTAGGGGACTCCAATATCCCTCACTACAGGGGCCTTGATAATTAGCTACACTGTTTTTTGCGGTTCCTTACTATAGTCATAGTATAGTATGCCCCAAAACCCTACTCTAATTATAAATGCCCCTATAGTAGTGTCCGGGCTCCCAGAGCCTCCAAAACCCCCTTAATTAAGGAATACAGCTTAGTCTACAATAGGATCCGTAGCATGGTTTAAGGTATATTCCTCAACTAAGGGGTTTTGCGCATAGTAAAATTGCCACTTGTTGTCTTTGTGACTCGCTAGGTGTACAAAGACAATAGGTACAAACCAAACCCATCAAACATAGCATGCCAGGCCATACCATGCCTTGCCCTGGAACACATGCCACATACAGACATACATAAACACATACATACATACATACATACCTACATACGGCACACTAGACAGATGCACACGTACACACACGCACACACACACACACAAACACACACACACACACACACACACACACACACACACACACACACACACACACACACACACACACACACACACACACACACACACACACACGCACGCCCGGCAGGCAGGCAGGCTATCCAGAGCCTTAAATCATAAACCCTCAACACCATACAATAAAGACTCAAGATTTCGAACAGGTGACGTCCAAAGCCGCAGCAGAGCCACTTGGCGAATTCACAGAGGGAGGAGATCAGGGGTCCTGACGGGGTCCTACAATGAATCCTATAAGGGTGCTTTAAGGGGTCCTTTAAAGGGATCTATAGGGTTTAGGGTTTAGGGATCTATAGGGTTTAGGGCTAAGGTTTTAGGGTTTAAGGATTTAGGTTTAGGGTTTCGAGCCCAAGGTTTACTCAGTAACAGTTGGATAATAGACATAATGTAGATATATTGGGACCTTGATCGTAGCCCTATTGTAGACTGTTACTGTGTAGGGGGGGGCAGTACCCAAGTCCTGACAAAGGGCTAGGGTTGGTTTAGTCTTTTGGGGCTTAGTGCTGCGGGTTTAGGGTTGGTGGTCAGGGTCATGATTGAGTGTTTGGGCCTTAGGGCTTTAGCTTGTTGTAGCTACTTAGAACAAAGCTCTACAGCCGCACCCTTACGCCCCGAAGCTCTTTGACAACCTTCGACCGGAGACAAGCCAACCCGTAACCCTAAACCCCTAAACCCTAACCGATCCTGAACCCTAAACCCCTCAATCCCTAAACCCTTAAACATAGCCCTTAACCCCTGAACTCAACCCTGAGCCCTAAACCCTAAACCCCGAGCCCTAAACCGCTAAAATCCCAGGCGCGCCCTGGAGTGGATTTGCTGCACCTCCGCGGAGACCTCGTTGCCTTCGAAGCTGTGGCCCAGCGAGCAAGACACGGCTTCGGGGCCTTAGCAAAGGGTTTAGGGTTTAGGGTTTGGGGCCTTAGCATAAATAGACACAAAATAAACCAGCAAATAAGCAAACAAACATATTACATGGTCTAATGCCAGTAGATAGACATGTACACATATAGACAGATGTACATATACACCTTTGAACATATGTACTCTATGCACATATCTATATATGTGCATACATATATACATATATTACATTTAGACATAGAGTCATACAGACATATAGACATGCATACATGCCTACATACATGCATACATACGTACATATATACATATGCACATACATGCATCGTTTTGGGGAGTGGTGATTGAATGCGTGGATGCTCAGGGCCAGCCCTTAAAGTCTAAAGCCATAAACCTGAAACCCCGCAGCTCCCATTCCAGAAGACCAAGAGAGCCATCATCAACGAACCCTAATACAGATCTTCTGTTATCGACTTGTCAAAAGAACCTTCGTTTAAAGGTCCTTTAAAGGAGACCGAAAGCCTTAAGCCTTAAACAGCACCCCTTACAGTAATCGGTAACCTTAATTCACACCCTGAAGCTCAACAGCACTCCATTGCATTGAAGCTAGAGCATCACACCCTATAGTACCCTCATAGAACCCTTCGGGTAACCCTAAACCCGAAAACTATGGTACCCTGGTAGAAGCCTGTAAACGCCCCAGGTGGTCCCAAGCCCGAAAAACGAAATATCGCAACTGGAGCCCTTGCTGTTTGTAGAGCTTTTCAGGACCTGCAAGCCCGAAGCTCTACCCCAGAATAGAACCCGCAAACTCTTTAAGGAACCCTAAGCCAGAAATCTTAAACCCCAAAGCCTACAGAACCCTCCCAGGACCCTCCAAGGGCCCTTGAATGGAGCCCTTATGGCCCGTAATTGTGGGTATTTGGGGTATAACAGAGGGTAGTCGGGGGTCTAGGTCAGAACCCTTTCTAGTAGAAGTCCTCTCAGGAAAGAGCCTCGTGATGTTGCCTTGGCTCGGAAGCAGCAGGAGCTGGGGGTTGACGGGTTTACCCATAAGGCTCCATAGTAGTTCCTTTTGGGGATTACCTTATAGGATTCTAGATATGAGCACCAAAAGGAACTACTATGGAGCTTCTGAGTAGGGTTCAGGGTTAGGGGTGAGGGGTTGCGGGATTTATGGGAGCTTAGGAGCATGGGATTTAAGTTTCGGGCTGGGCTTAGCTTTAGGGATTTCGGGTTCTTTAAGGGGCTCCTTGCAGGGATTTGACAGGGGTTTCATAAAGGGCTTCGGGGTTTCGATTTTCCAAACCCTTAGACCCTACATTCATCCCTGCACTCCCAGGACCACCCTGGCCCCGAAACCCTCTGAAACCCTAAATCCGAAACCCTTACCGTACGGCTGATGATAAAAATCCTGCCCTGCACTACCCATCATAAGGAATATACCATAATTCCCATAGTTTAGGGTCCTCAAGGTAATGCAGGATTCATATCATCAACCCTAAGGCTCAAAATAGCCCAGAAGCCTTATATAGTATGGTCTTTGGGCCCAAAAGCCTTAACATATGCTTAGCCACGAACTGAGCAGCTCGGGGCAGACCCAAGAGCCTGAAACATGGTCCTGACCTTAAAAAGCTCGGAAGAATTAGCAGTGTGTTTCGGGTTTAGGGCTTAGATTCAGGGTTTGGGGCTAGTTCGTAGTACTATCCCCTTATAGTCCCTGTATCATGATGTCATAGCATACTCCAAAACCCTATTTCAGTTTTGAATCCCTAAATTACACCCGTACCCCATCGCCAAGGCTCAAAATGCTTCTACAGTACTCAGGCCCAACGGTTTTGGTCAATGGTTCTTTGCCTTAGGCCCCAAAACCAACCACGGAACCCCAAGCAATGCAAACAGTAGGCAGTAGGATCCTTCTTTGTAGCAGCCCTAAATAAGGGCTCCGGTTAGAGAGAGCTTTGCGCAGGAGGAGCGCAATGTGTCCTTCCAGACCAAGGACAGGGGCGGTCGTTTCATGAGTCTGTTGGGGCTTTCGAGTTGTAAGGGTTAGCCCTAAGCCCTAAACTGAACTAGGGGCTATGACGAAACTACACCTTGTGCCATAACCTACTTGTTACATTGCCCCTACAAATTCTGCAACAGGGTTTTGTAAACTCGAAAAAAGTAGGTTAGGGCAGTTTCGATCGGATCATGAAGTCAGGTGTCAGGGTAGCAGCTGAGGCGTTCATTGTTCCAGGGCCCGGGAGCCCTAAACCCAAAACCCCTAAACCCTAAAAGCCCTAAACCCTAAACCCCTAAACCCCTAAACCCCTAAAACCCCTAAACCCCTAAACCCCTAAACCCAAAGCCCAAAACCCGGAAGGCTTTGGGTTTCAGGATCGGGTCCACGCCTCGGACTTCGGGCTCTTGGGGGTAAGGAGGTAAGCTTTCACCTTTTGAAAACTGTCGGGGTTTATATGGGTAGTTGGCAAAATTATGGCCCCTTTTGGGGTACCCTAAATATTCGGTGCCGTACTATAAGAAGGACCCAAAAAGGGACCCTGATTTTGACAACCACCCATATAATCCTACTATAGTTCGAAAGGTTAGCCTTCTTTGGGCTAGGGTATTCAGCCCCTATGGGTTCATGGGTAGTTAGACGTGGATACTTATCATATGAAGTAGGGCTTATGTTACCATTTTGGTGAGTGTAGATAGGGCTCCTTTTGAATTTTGGTGAGTGTATGTAATGGGTTTTATTATGGGGATACTAGTAATATAAACCATACTCTATATTATATGGTTAGGTACCCTTACTATTTCAGTAGCTGGAGGCCTGGGTGCTTTATGTAAATCGGAGCAATCACGGCTTGGAGGTTTACGGGTAGTTGTAAGTGGGGTTGTAAGTAGGATAACTATATTTATAATCCATATGCGGGACTTATAACGCTATGGAAAACTACCCATAAACCTCCAAGGACCCATAGCCTACCCTAGTCTTCCTCCCTCCTTGCCCCCGGCTTTTCGGGGTTTAAGGAACCCGCAAAAGCCGGAGCCAGGCTAATTCTGAATAATTACAAGATTACCCATCTATATATATATATATATATATATATAGGCCCCAAAGTAGCTACTTTTTGGGGTTCATTTTTAGAATCCTATAAGGTAATCCCAAAAAGGAACTACTATGGAGCCTATGGATAATTCTGATTACAAGATTAAACAAAGCCGGAAGCTACGGATGCAGGCACTCTTGCAGGGTGGCCAGATCGAAGCGCGGCTGCATCGTACGCCCCAAATTCCGACGCTACGAACCCAACAACTAAAGTTGCACCTCTTGTCTCCGTTGTAGCTCCTTTTCTTGGCGAAACCAATTTTACAAGTAGGATCCGCAAAGCTAACCCAACAAAGTTGTGGCATGCCAGGGTTGTTTCGGGTAGCAAGCAAATGCCATGGATAAGGATCACTTCGACTGAGGTACAGCCCTAAGATAAACCCTAAATCCGAAACCTAAACCCTAAGCCCTAAACCCTAAACCCCTAACCTTGCAGCCTAAACCCCTAAGCCCTAAACCCTAAGCCTCTATGTAAACCCTAGACTCCTAAGCCCTAAACACAAAAACCTTATTCAGCACAGAAAGCTCTTGCCTGAGCCCTCAACGTCTGTTGAACAGGTGTGACGGTGTGTGTCTAGGTGAACCTACTTAGATCCCCAATGCCCGACCTTTAATCTTTTTGGGTTCTTATAGTTTAGTAGGAATCGGAAAGTTCAACCTTGTGTTTTTGCGGCTTGTTGGGGGAGTAAGAATAAACCCCTACACTGTCAGGCTTCCTTGTTGCGAATTCCTTCTAAGTGCCGCAAGGTAGGACTTCGGAGGGCTCGGTAGGGTTTTCCATTGTTCGGCTACGATATGTGTATTCACCTATATATACATACATACATACATAATGCGTGTGCCTATATATTTGTATATCTTTGTATACGGATATATATGTATATATATATATAGATATGTATATGCATGTGTGTACATATATGCATATGTGTCTGTACATAAACATACATACATACACACTTACATACTGCCCGCATGTATACATACGTACATACACACATGCATACATACATACGTGTGCCTACACATACACTTACTATATATATATATATATATAGATAGATAGATAGATAGATAGATAGATCGTCCCAGCATGAAGAAGCGCCAAGCTTATTCCTAAGTCACAGCTATTTGCCAATTCTTCAATCGACCCTTAAACCATGTTCTAGTTGCTAGTTAAGGCCCTACGTGACATAGGCGCAGCACGTGCTTGTAAGATTCATCGAGGTGCTCTACTTGTCTGAACCACGCACTTCCATGGAATGTGGAATCAACGAGACCCCAGAGAGCAAGCCCCACAGTAAGATTTATGTAATGTGGTGCTGTTTTTAATTAGAGGTGGCCCGCCCCCGCCCCCAACCAAACTTGGACGGCCGACATAATATGTTGCACGTGACCCCATTGACCCCCCTGGCTCCTTGACCTTGGTTGGAGGTTTGACTTACTTAAAAGGGTTTTGGTGGGGAAAGAGGTTTTGGGGGTGGCTTTGGGGTTTGGGTGGGTTAATTTAGAAGTGGTTTGGGGGTCCGAGGAGTGTGGGGGTGCCGTGTAGAGTTTTGTGGGTCGGGGGGATTCGGGGGTGTCAAGTAGAGGGTCTATCAGGGTTCAGAATCGTGATTAAATAGAAGGATTCTGGAGGGTTTGGTAGGTTTGAGAGGGCTTTGGGGTGGTGGGGTTTCAGGAGAGTTCTGAAGGTTTCTGGGGTCCCTGCGTATATTTTCAAGTACACCACAAGCCTGTTCCAGCCTGTTCTATCTAGCAAGGAGACCCCGTCTTGTTCTTAAAGGGGTCCTTAAAGGGATCTATAGGGTTCCTTCAAGGGATCTATAGGGTTTAGGGTTTAGGGTACTACTTGGAGGATCATGAGACTTACCCAGAGAGCCCAGTACCCCTTAATTAAGGAATATAGCTTAACTCATAATATGAAGCCCTACATATAGTTTAAGCCATATTCCTTAAGTAAGGGTATTGGGCTCTCTGAGTAACAAGAAAGGTTATATGTACCCTAATCGAGGTTATAAGTATAGCTACCCTAATATAACCCTAGTTATTAAGTCCCATGATCCTCAAACTCTAAACCCCCCATAGATCTTTATAAGATCCCGTTGAGGAACCCTTTAAGGAACCATCTAAGTTACTAAGAGTCATGATCCTTTAAGTAAATCAGGGTCATCTCCCAAACCATGAGCTTTGGCAGAAGTCGCATGGGAACAGCTTTTCCGTTCCTTGCCCCCCCCAAGCTTAGGGTTTGGGGCCCTGGTGTTTGAGGATTTTAGGCTTCAGGGGTTCATTGTAGGAGGTTTGCGTTCACGAAAACTTGTCCCCTCTGCAGACAACTTAAGATCCTGACGGAGTTGGGACGGCTTGCGCGAGCAGTCGCCCAAGTGGGGAATATCTGAATGGCAGTGCGGTTGACACCAAACGACGTACCTCAAACCTGTGACACAAAGCAGTTGACCTTGCTCGAGATGTCTTTTTCATTCCGTCGACAACTCGAGTGCGGTGCGCATACATCACCCGAGTGTGTTTGTGGGTATACTCTACCCAGCCTTAACAAACGTCGCAGTTTCTCCAACTGTTCATGATAAACATAAAGCATACCAGCAAATGCAGTATGTCAAGTTTCCGAGGCTGTTCCCCTGCAGACTATCAGTTTAGGAGTTCATGCGACACCGAAAGCCAGAAGATGCAATGCAATCTTATGTGTAGGAGGTTGTGTCGTACATCCTTAATTAAGCCTGACAGGTGGTTTTTGAATGCACTGCTGGGCTCCCTGCGTGACTCCGGACATGTGCATGCAGTGCTTTACAACTCATATATAATCAGGCTTAGGCAAGATAGGATATGCCAGATCGAGTAGTGATAACTTCTGCTGACAAGCTTGAGGGCGAAATGAGGCGAACAAAAATACACCGTGAATTAGTCATACTTCATGCCCATCCTGGACCAAACTCTGAAGTTGCTTCCGCCTCCCAAAACCTCTCATTCGATGTTCGGGAAGCAAGCATAGCTACCAATTTTCATGAGGCTTGAGACATCTTGAAACCCAAGTGCGACTAGATTGCGGCGCTGAGTGTCTCCGGTTTGCGGACCAGGGCCTCAATCAGCACAACTCTCGGTCAGCCTATTAGCATTGAGAGGTTGGCGGCTTCTGATCTGTTGGGTGGAATAATCTCCGATCCGTGAGCTTTTCAGCTTTGTATTCTTGCGAACTTGCGATGCCCGTTCCTAACAAACTGCATGTGGCTGCATACCCTAAGGGTCCATGTAACCATATGGAGATACATGGGCCCCAATGTACCTACATAGGCACTACATTAAGGCCAATGTATATACTATATGAGTACATGGACCCTTAGGGATACGCGCTGGTATTGCGAGCTAAACCGTGAGGCTGAACGGAGGCAGCTGCTGCTGTCAGCTGCTGTTCACATTTTACCCTGTTCTCACCATAGTGTGTTCTGTTTTTGCTGCGTACGTCCCGGTTTACAGCTTATATGCCTTGGAAGGGGCCCCCACCCTGTAATAGTGACTATAAGGATTTTTTGGGGGGCCCTATTATATGCCTACTATACCACTATTACAGGGTGCGGGCCCCTTCAAACTTATGCCTGTTTTTCCGGCCTGTGAGTCGGTCCCAGAAGTTGTCGGCTCCTGCGACCGAGCTCGGAAGTTGTATCTCAGGTGCTTCTCCGTCCCAGAAGCTGTAGACACATCGTATATTGTATTCAGTTTGCACTGCGTGGCGGTCGGATCTTAACAGCTCTTCCTTACAGGTTTCGAGCTCTAAGTTTATAATCCAGGTTTAGCGTTCCGGTTTTGAGAGTGTGCACATATCCGGTTGTTCAAGTCCAGTCAGCTCGTTTCCGAACAGCGCAAGCGCTACATCCTAAGGCTTGACACGACAAAGTTTGCAGTTGTTGAACGTCGAAGGACCTGCTTATGCAAAGTTGCCGGGACATAGTTGATTCAAGAAGTTACTTCATGCATAAACCCACGTTGTTTCGTTGTAGGTTCGGGTTGGGTTTTAAGCGCATGCAATCTAGGCATCAACTTCCCGGGCATTAGGTTTCGCTTAGGGTTTAGGGTTTAAAGGTTTAGGGTTTAGGGTTTCGGCTTTGGGGTTTAAGGTTTTAAGGTTTAGGGTTAAGGGTTATGGTTACGAGTTTTCGTGACTTTTTTTCAGTCATGTAGTTTCCCAGCAAGGCAGGGAGCACCATGCCAATTTTGAACTGCCCCTCGTTTCCTCTAGACCATGTTCGTAAACCCCGTACGCCTGAATCTGACCCTTTGTGGGTCTATGTTATCATGTTCGGGTTCGTTGTGTTGTTCGAGTTGGCATGGATCCGGGCTTAGGGTTTTGGGTTTAACCGCGACTTGATGGTTTCAAAGAGTTGGCTCAGTACATCTGGATTTTTGATATGACATTGGCCACGAACGACCCCCGGCAGCGGGTAGTAGTGATGCAGTCCCAGTTGCAGCTGCAACGTTAAACAGTTAAACCTGAAATGAAGTGTCTGTCCTTTGGCTAGCCAAGGAAGGAACGTACATCACGCGCATCGAGCGGCTGGACAAGATGTTTCAGTCCAAACCCGCCAGCTAGTTGATGGATTAATCGGTAATATGTGTCTCTTGGATTCTTTTTGTTCGTAGTTCTGGAAGGACCAGCTGACAGTCGGAAAGTAGGCAGATGCCCTCCACCCTCAGACTATATGTTACAATGCCGACATGTATGGCACTTGAACTTTCAGCCTTTTTGATTTTGCCCAAAGGCCTGGAATTTCCTAGACTTTGACAGTTCCTGACCTCTGAGAGGTCGGAAGAGTAGGGTCTAGGGTTCAGGATTCAGGATCTAGGGTTTAGGGTTTAGTAATAAGTGACAGTAGTCCCTTCATGTCCTCGATATAGTTTTTGGTATTATGTACCCCCAAACTCCATTCAGGTTTTTAAGGCCCCTGTAGTATGTTGCGATTCCTCAAGTCCTTGAACTCGGTACCCCGAATAAACTCTCTCAAGCCTCGACCTCGATCTCAATACCTGTTGAAGTGTTACCCAGGTGTAGGGTTCAACCAGAGTCTTGTATACTCTACACCCGGAACTGGCGCTGTGATTATTGAATCCTAACGACGATCAACCGGAACCCGGCTTTGGCACTGTGATTATCGAATCCAAACGATTATCAACCGGAACCCGGTGAAGGCCATGAAACCATTGGTCTTTCGGTACCTACTTCCATCATAAGTATATATATATATACACACAGATATGCATATATACACACATAATCTATATATATATATATATATATATATATGATTATACATACATAGATAGACATTCTGTTGGGGCTGCTTTATTAGCCCTCGGTTGTCAAGGAAGCTTGGCTTCAGCCGTGCGCGGGCTATCCAGGCGCCGGGTGGTGCGATTTTTCGAGCAAAGGCTTAATATAGAGGCCTAAATAACAATTTTGGGAGTTCCCTTTTATAATTATAGTATGGTGGGCCCCAAAACCCTTGTTTTAATTATTAAGGCCCCTTTAGTAATGTTTGGGGCTTAGGGTGTTTGTTGTTGGGTGTCAACCGTTCTGGGTTTGGCTTAGTTGTCTAGGGTCTAGAGTTTGACTTAGCTTGGTTATAGGGTTTCGTTGAGGGTGTTTAGGGTTTAGTTTGGAGCGTCTTGGGTTTACAGGTTTAGGGCGTCTAGCGTTGCGGGTTAGTGCGTCTAGGGGCTTGAGGGTTTCAGGTTCAAGCCTTTAGACCTCACCTACCCCTAGCGCTAAACCCTGAATTTTGAACCCTGAGCCCTAAACTCTAAGCTGAAAACGCTGGACTGAACCCTGTCACCTTGATACCCTGAGGTACCCAGACACCCCAATACTAATTCCCCTTCATTTGTATGTTTCATGCGTTTTTTCTTGGATTCTATACGGGTTTAGAACGCATATGGTTGAGCCATAGATCATTTTGCTTTACGGCATGTTCCTTGCCGAAGGTAATGGACAAATTCTGCATGACCCTCAGGACTCTAAACTATGGGAACTATAGTATGTTCCTTATAATGGGTAATGCAGGATTTTGTCCATCAACAGTGTTGAGCTCTCGGGGTAGTAGACGCGAGAGTTTGTCAGGATTCGGGTTTACATTCAGCTTGGTCCTTCAACACACGTAAGATCACGTAATCCCTTCCCCCTAACTACAACCCACCCCCCCCGATATAAACAACTGAATTTCGGGGCCGGAGTTTTTGCATTAGGGGGGTTTCGGGGCATCCGGGTCTGTGTCGAACTGAGAGTAATTATAAGCCAGACACGAAGACTGCCCACCCCTATCGAGGCCAGTACAGTAATTCTAGTAGCAAGCCGTATGCTGACTCCTACCCCTAAACCCTTAACCCTAGACTCCCCTTTAAAGGAACGCTATGGCTCCTTTAAAGGACGCCTTAAACTCCCCTTTCAAGGAAACCTATGTGTCTCAGGGTACAGTTCGTCTTCTCCTTTTGGAGCACCAAGGCCCTCGCCGAGTCTCCAGGCGGTGCCTTGCTGCCGGCGGTGCGTCTCGGATTCTCTCTACTTGCGAGTTTTAGAAATCAGGGGGAATAAGGATCCTACTATTTAGGGTTTAGGGTCCCCTATTTTCGGAAGCTCCCATTTGGGGTTTAGGGCTTAGGGTGTCGGGCTGAAAAGGTTACGTAGGATTGAAGCTGTTGGGGCTTTGCGTTTAGGGCTTAGGCATACCCATGTGGCGAATTTCAGGCAACGCCTTCAAACCTCAACCCAAAGTAACATCAGTTGTGAAGACTATATATGTTTGTCCCTTGTACGCTTGTTGTTATTCTTGTTCTCATGTTTGGTATGTACGAGTAATGATAGTAACAATAAACAACAGTACTGCTGCTCCTGCTGTCGCTGCTACTGTCATTAGCACTGGTACGATGATGACTGATGATAACGAGTATCGTGAATGCCATGAATATTCATTACAACTATTACCACACATGGCACGGTTAGTGTTATTCATGTTGTTTTGCTTGTGCTGAAAAATGTTTGACAGATGACTCCATGTAGCCCCGCTCAAAACCAACAAATCTTGAAGCCAACTATGGGCTCTGCACAAGGCAAAGGTACTAGTACCGACAGCCATCATGACGGAAAAACATGTATGATTGTGGTGGAGCCCCCAACCCTCAAACATCACTCCATAGTGGCAACAACGCCAGTGTTGCTGTTATCGGCGCGTGCTTCATATGTCTACCTCTTACCAGAAAGCAATAGCTTTTGATGGTCTCACTTTCTAAGAGATGGAAGCAGCAGTCGTAATCCGTACGGAACATAGCACACCGCACCGCCTAGCGGCCTAGCCCTAAACCCACCGCTGCGTCTCAATGCCTGGACGCTAGCTCTGGATGCCTTGTGATCTGATGTCCATGAAGCAACCGCGGTCTTCGGCAGCGATGCGGCCAGCACCGTGCTGCCCTGTGCTTCCTTGTCCATGGGATGCTGACAACTTGACGGACAGTGTGCCAGATGCCCAACGTCCACTGCACTGCTTCTTGGAAGCCATCGCCGAAGGAAATATGGACACTGCGAGCTCTTCAGATGGAGACTGGCCACGTCATGCCCATGCATGGCCTCGGGGTACATGGGATGGAGGATTGTCGCAGCAGCCCGTCCCGGCCTTGCAGGGAGCAAGTAGCGCTTGGCAGCCTACAACGACAGAAGATCCGTGGCTAGCTCCGCCTGCCGCCCTACAACGTCAGCAGGCTGCTGCCCGCGCAGATGTGCAGCCATCACAGCCATTAGCCCCTTCGGCCCCACCACGACAGCAGGCTTTTGCAAACGTAGGTGCGCAGCCATTAGGCCCACAGCAGCAGGTTTTTGCTGAGACTCGGCAGAGGCAGCTGTTGAACAGCGCCGGCCACCGCAGGGACGAGGTTGTGGCAAGCCTTTGCAAATATCTTGATGTGCCAGTTGGAGAGACTGAAAAAGTTTTTTCGGAAAGGCTTCTGATGCGGCTGCCAGACATGATGCACTTCTACGAGCAGCAGGCGGAGGAGCGGCGTTCGCAGGTACTGTGGAAGAAGAGAATTGATGCAGTTGTTGGAGACCGCCTGAATGAGCTCTATTTGGCCATGGAATGCATGAACAACGGCCTCACATCACGGCAATATGACGCACTCAGACGACAACTTCTCTCTGCCAAGGGCTGGGGCGAAGGGAGAGGAAGGACGGAGGCCGAGGGTCATGCAAAATATGCTTAAAAGTCAAACGTTTCAGCACATCAGGGGGTTATTAAGCCGTTTAGAGAGGTCCACGCATGGGCGTTGTTCAGACTGGATGTTGCTTATACAGCAACCTGTGTAGGCATTTCTTGTCCACAGCGTTTGAACATTTTACTATATCTTACTGATTGAACATTCTTCCCCATGTTCTGATAAACATCTTTCGGAATGCTTAGCCAGACCCGCTGCAAGACAGAGAAGCTGGGGGGGGGGGGGGGGGGGGCACAGGCTACGCCTTCTATTTGTTTTCCACTGCCGCCGCGGCGCGACGACGATGACGATAACGACGACAACAACAACAACAACAGCGACAACAGAAACAGCGGCAGCAGCAGCAGCACCACCACCACCATTACTACCACCACCACCACGACTTCTGCTTCTACTTCTAGTTCTAATTCTACTTCTACTTCTGCTACTACTACTACGACTACTACTACTACTACCACTACTACCATCACTACCTCTACTACCACTACTACCACTACTACCACTACCACCACCACTCCTACTCCTAGTCCTACGTAGTCGTAGTAGTAGTAGTAGTCGTCGTCGTCGTGGTGGTCGTCGTCGTCGTCGTAGCAGTCGTAGCAGCAGCAGTAGCAGCAGCCGACAAGAACAACAATAACAATACACCAGTCATGAAAAGGATTAGCAATAATGATGACAACAGTCTCCATAATACAGACATGGAAACATCAACAATAAAGATATTTCCAGTGAGCAACGTCCCAACAAGGCCAGTAAAGATAGTAGTAGGAGCGATGCTATTGCTAAAACCAAAAGCAACAATGGCAATAATAACGTCGACACGGTAACAACGAGTAAACGCAGGTTCTGATGATGGCATAGCAACAAACTGGACTGACAGGAGCATGCTTGTACATGTGGTCCCTTACTGGGGGTGTCCACACGGACCCCTAATGAGAAACTTTAAGAATGACATAATCACGATCATTATTTCTGTCCTCACAATATGGTAATAGCAATATAGTCTCGTTATACCTTTGTTCTAGTATTGTTATTTTATTGTTATTGTTATAGTAAAACCCGAAACACTAGTAGCACTGCGAACGTCCCAACAAGGACCTAATGAAAACCTCAATGTCGGCCCCTGACACTTTTTATTGGTCTTCGTCATGGGGATACCCAAGAGGGAATTCCCAAATGAACAACTTTTAGAAATGACTACCGTGAAAGGCCCTGCATAAGCGCACCTACTGACGATTCCTACAAAGGCGCCATGATAAGATAACATGTTTCAAGCTTGCATTTCAACCGTAATTAAGGTTTACGCACCAGTTTGTTTACACATTTCGGCTGTCAAACATACATTGAAGCGGTTTAACCCGTTTACACATGTCCAGCCTCTAGTTCCGCGCTGTTTGGACATGTTTTGTTTGAAAAGCGTTCGTTTAAGCCGTTGGTGCACATACCCTTGACCAATGCTGCAGAGGCGGAAGCAAAGGAGGAGAAAGTGGGGGCATATGCCAAGGAGCACAGCCACCGCATGCAAGGCATGATGGGACCTGCCGTGGAATCTGCAATCTTTGAGCACGGCCAGGGTGAGAGCTTGCGTGCTCGTATTGTGCGACGTGTGGAAGAGGAATCAAAGATCCATCTAACCCTGGAGCAAACAGACTTCACCAAGGGCCTTTCGGATGATGTTTTTCTCGGCAGGAAGCCCGAGCAGATTAAAGACGTCTCCCTTAGGATGGGAATCGGCGAGATTTCCCACGTTCAACAAGGTGTTGAAAAGCTCGTGACATGGTTTCGAAAGGCAGAGGAGCTGCAACTTGATCGTCTTGACTTCTCTGGAACCAAACTTGCAGATGATGCATTGGGCCTGATCCTGAAGCTTCGTTGCTTCCGCAAGCTCAGGTTTCTTGGCTTGGCAGACACGCTGGTCAGTGTCGATGGTCTTTGTGACGTCATAGAAGAAGTCTTCAGGTGTCGAGCTGGAGAGCGAGAGCCGGAGCAGGACCACTGGCTGAAAGTTAAGATGGGCGACGAGTTCTGGCCGCGCAGCCAACCGAAGCATCAACAGAACAACCGATGGCTCGCGTTGCAGGGGCGCGTTTCGGAGGTCGGAGGGAAATGCCACTACTTTGGGTACAAGCGGAACAAGGGCTGGATGTTGCGCATCGTCAAGTACCAAGATCGGGACAATGCAGACACAACATCTGGAAAAACGTTGCTGAAAGTCTGCGCCTGACCATGCTGGAGCGCACGCGAAACGGAGACGTTCTCTGTCGATGTTTCGCCGTAGCGGTGCTCTGCGAGAAAAGATATGTGGTCAGGACTCTTTGGGAGGACCAGGGGTTTAGGGCTTACCTATAGTCTCCAATGTAGTTCCCTTTTTGGGGTTACCTTTTAGGATCCTTAGTATAAAATTGGTTAAACCAAAAAAAAGAACTAAAATGGAGACTATAGGTAGGGTGCAGGGTACATTTTAGGGCTCCGGGCTTAAGCTTGAGGGGCTTGGGGGCTAGGGCTTAGGCTTGAGGCTTAGCTGTTGCAGTTTGTGGTCCAACTTGCAAGGTTTAGGGTTTTGGGAAGAGCTTTTGGTTTAGGGCGTGGCTTATGGCTTCGGGTTCAAGCTTAAGGGCATAGGGTATACAACCCGCCTTATTTTAAGGTTCCTTAATATCATTTCCTTATATTATAAGTCCATAAAAGGGTAGGTTATTCCGGGTTAAGGTAGGGTTTGGGGTTCAGTTTAGGGTTTAGGGTTTAGGGGTCTGGGGTTTAGGGTTTAGGGTTTGGGATTCAGAGCTCAAAGTTCAAGTTGTCGGGCTTCGGGTTCAGAGTGCGCCTGACGAAAGTCACCGTCCCAAACTTACTGTCACGACTTGTCGACGATCCCCTGCCAGTCTGTAGGACCGCGGCTTGAAGGCTTAGGTTCAAGTTTTTCAGATCCGGGCCTGAGAGCGAAGTATAACCCGAAGGGTCCATGTACCCAAATAGTATATGCTTTGGCCCCGATGTACCTATATAGGGACTACTTTAAGGCCAATGTATACACTATTTGGGTAATTACATGGACCCTTCGGGTAATCTTCAACATTTTGAGGGCTTGAGCCCTGTGGGCCTAGGCGTCCCCTTTCCGAATCGCTTGTCTTTCAGGCGCAAGCTTCCATGAAAAAAGGCGGACACCCGCAACGGGAAGTCGTCCGTCCCGGAGTCGTCCGCAAAAGGGATGTAGGGTTTGAGGCTTACGCTCCGGGATCCCTACGGCTCCAGGCGCTTAACTAGGATGCCCAGTGGTACCCTTATTCCCTGTTTGCAGTCCTAGGTTCCTTATAAAGTTACCCAATACCAAAAGGGAGCCCTTTTTTTCCCGGGTTATTGGGCTTCCTAGTTAAAGTGTAGGTCGCCAACCACAGAATATGTGACCCCGTAGCCCATGGCTTAGGTAGCTGGAGCCTATAGAGGAACACACATCGACAAATGAAATTGCCCTCCAACGTGCAAGTAAAGTCTTTAGCGATCGTAAAACCTTGATACCATAGTCTCCCGAACCCCCACTTCCTAGGGTTTGGGGATCGTAAAGCCTTCAAACTTGAGTCCATTGAACCTTGAATCCCTAAAGACCCTTAAACTCTGAAATAAAAGTCTAGGCTTCAGGGCACCTTGAAGGACCCCATGACTTGCAAGGAAAGCCCTCCTGTCGGAGTATTTGCCGCTGGAGCTGACACCAGGCGGGTCTTCTAAAACGGGCCCCGGTAGCTCCCTTTTAGTGGGATTTGGGTTTAGTGTTTAGGGTACCCTTTTACCGTTGTTGTTTTGGGGCCTCTTTGTTCGAATAATCGACTAGTTGGAAAAAAGGGGCCCTGCCCCTGAAGGGGTCGCTGGGACACCTAGATAGAAGGGGCGTTAACAGTAACTAAGACTATTCCCTAGGGCTCCTTGCGTTTGTACTTATAGCAAGTTATACTTTAAGTGACAATCTTGGTTTTCCTTATTCATGCAGGGCTGACGGAAACTTGAATCATTAGTAATACTATTACTCAGGCTTCCTTGCCGCACTAAGTACAACGTCTTCGGTATGAACACACGGGCCAAAAGGAAGGGACGTCACCTTATATGTGGCGGACACCCATAGCAAGACTGTTCATTCTGTAAAGCTCCTTCGAGCAGGTTGCCTTTAACCTTTCGGGGCGTTCTTACAAATTCTGACCATAGTTCTTACATATTATCCATAGGCTCCAGAGTAGTTCCTTTTTGGGATTACTATATAGGACTCTAGATATGAACCCCAAAATGGAGCTACTATGGAGCCTTAGGGTATTACTATACTTCAACAGGTTAAACCCTAAACCCTAAACAAACCCTAAACCCTAAACCCTAAACCAGGTTGAGCTTTTTTTTGGTGTAGGGTTCTCAGCCCCTAGGCCTTGACACCCCCATGCGCTCTGACCACCCTAAGAGATCCTGCAGCACCCCTACAAAACAATGAAAGCCTTACGGTTCTCTGCAAATTTAAGCCCAAAGGGTCCAAAGTACCGATATAGTAGAAAGTAGGGTTTCTGTCTTAGGAATTACTGTTACGATTTGGGGAAGTATTCCCCATAACAGTACATAGGACCCTTTGGGAAGAGTACAGGGTTTAGGAAATGTTTAGGGTTCAGGGTTGAGGGTTCCGAGGGTGGAACCCTGCGTTGTTTCAGAAAGATACATCTGGATACGCAAGATGCAGAACATTTTTTCCAGAGGTGATGACCATTCGTATACTCCCTGAGCCCGAAGGTCTTCAGGTTCGGGGATACTTAGGAAGTAGGTTAGGACTGAACTTATGGGGCGGATCGAGTGATGACGCCGTCCTTTGCCCCCACTTTCAGAAATTTCAGCTCACCCCGCACATAGACATGCAAATCATGCCTTGGGCTTCTTGCATGGCTTGAGTGCCAATTCAGACAAACAGGTGGGGATACCCTATCGGGTTTTGCACGTGGCATTGCCGGAATCTTGAAAGCTTGATGTCCGAACCTGAATCCCTCTATATGCGGGCGTGCTTGCAGATGTATGCAGGTGAGACTGCTGCATCCTCACGCTGGGCCCCAAAAATCCATGTAATTACCCAAATAGTATACACTTTGGCCCCACAGTGCCTACATAGGGACGACTTCGGGGACAGAGTATTTACAATACTTTTCTACATGGCCCCTTATACCCTAAACCCTCAACCGCTGTTGTGCCCTGAGCGTAGAACGCCTAAAATCACCCTTCAAAAGGAACCTCGCCAGTTGAGTACCCATTGATCGGCAAGACCCGAAACCTGACTAAGGTGGCAGCTTCTCAATGCTTGAGGTTTTGCTTTATTGTAAGTTTTCAATATTGTTATGTACGTATATATATATATATATATATATATATATATATACACTTCCTTGTACGTACATTATATAGTATACGTTGCACTTCAAGGCTGGCCGACGCAAATCAGCGATGCAGATGCCGACTTCGAAACTCCTAAGCCCACGTACACAGGCCTTGGTACCTGCGAGAAGCCCCTCCAAGAAGCCATATTCGCCATACTATACTTCAGACGGTGCGGCCCCATGTGGGAGTTTCCGAAAATAGGGGGCCCTAAGATAGTACCCTAAATAGTAGGATCCTTATTACAAGGACCCCGAAGCAAGGTACCTCAAATGCTCGGAAACTCCCATATACTCCCAAAGCCCAGACTTTGTCAGAGTCACGTGTGGCACAAGGCCTCACAAGCAGAACATGGCAGCCAACAACGCCCTGTCAGACCCAACCATTAACCAGGAAACTTTACATGACATAGGCTCGCCAGGTCCTATCCTAAACCCTAGACCCTCAACCCTCAACCCTGCAATGTCACTCCCGAACCCAAAAGTCTTCGAGCCGAAAAGGCACGGATCCGGATACTGCCAGCCCTGCATCACCAGAGGATCACGGGGGTTTAGGGTTGAGGGATTAGGGTATTTAACAGTTTAGGGTTTAGGGTACAGTGCGCGTGGCTCTGGCTTCCGTAATGAAAAAGTCGGGGTTTCAGCTTTAGGAGCATGGGTTCTGGCTGTTGGAGTTCCGCCCCCTGGTATCAGGTGAGGGTTTTTTTCGTGGCTTTCGCATACTTGCTGGGCACATAGCTTGTCGGCTGTGGTCATGATTGTTCAGCAGCCATCCGTTGAAACTATACATCCTTTGAAAACCTCACAGTTATGCTTTCTCCTGATGAGTGTGGCCTACGCTCGCAATGAAGACTTCGTCGGGCCTTGTTTCGGGTACTGTGTAGTCTTGTGCCACTCCCCCTAATAATGGCTGAGCCATCTGTGCACTAAGCAACGGCAGCTGAGTCGCGTGAGAGCTTTCGAATCCTTGTCAGAGACAGCTGCGCACTGAGCAACTGAGCACCTTCGGACAAATAAGCAAATGCATAGAAGTACACATATACATGTCTAAGTATGTAAACATGATGCACAGATATTGTACGTTTGTGTTTACATAGTATGTTTGTGTAGTTGATGGTTTAAACCACAGTTATCACACACATACCAGCAAAAGGACTGGCACAACTATAGACCTAGCTCCTAAACCCTAAGGGCATAAACCCCTGAACCCTAAACCCCGAATCCCTAGATCCCAAACCCCATCTGTTTCTGTAGGGCCGCTGGGTTCCATCCACACAGTCAGGTTCTCCAAAGCACATATATGACTAGTTGCGTACAAGGCCCCTCACATCCCAAAATTCCTGAACCCTTCTGGTGCCCTTATAGTAGTTCCCTTATGGAACACTTAACGGCACTCTTGAAGGGACCCTCACGTTAAAGGATGTTTAGGGGCACTTCTGGGTTTCGAGTGACTTTTTCGCCCGTGCAGGAGCTCATCGATGAGGTTGAGGCCATGCGGAGCATTTATGGTCGCTGGGCTCGCACCTTGATACATCGGGTTGAGGGTTTGGGGTTTAGGGTGTCAGTCAGGTTTTAGGGTTTTGATATACATCGCCACCAACCCTAGCCCATGGGCTTGAGAACCCTCACTCAAACTGCACCCGATGCCCTAAACGACCCTAAACCCTGCACCCTACACCCCGAACACCGGGTTCTCAGTCGCCCCAGGATCAAAGACCGACCACACAGAAACATGCCAAGCCAGAGTTGCAGAACTATAAAATCTTATAGACGAATAATCAAGACTCCTGTGAAAGTGTTATGTGTATGTTGTATATGTAGATATACACATACATACAATCACGTTTACATAGAATCAGATCTAAATATACTTGTGTGTATACAGATGTATGCATACGCACATGTCCATGCGTCTCTTATTCGTTGTGTCGGGGCAGTGATTTACTTTTAGCCTTGAGTCGCTTGCTCTCGGTGAGGGGCTCAAGAGGCAACTAGTCAATACAGGGTTCCCGAGCACACTGCGGTACTTTTGTTTCTGCTACTTCCACATGCGTTGTAGCGCAGTTATTCTTTGTTTGTGCTACTTCCACACGCGTTGTAGCTTCTCTGAACAGTCAAGCGGGTTAAAATAGAATAGGGTTCTGCGGGTATGCGATGGGAGATTGCCGAGGGACTTGAGCGGGAGAGGATTTGCCAAGTTGTTGTTGGGACCGCTGTGTTGGGTCTAGAGTCAGCTATCCTAAACCTTAGGTACGGCCCCCATACAGTAAGAGTCTATAATAGGGCTACTATTAAGGTCCTACTATATCTATATTATGAATATGATTCATCTATTACTGAGTGGGGGCCGTACCCAACCTAAACCCTAAACCCCTAAACCCTTAAACAGAATCCCTTTCGGGGGATCCTCCGAGAGCTGCGCACCGAGGCGAAGAGGATGTTCAGACGTTCGGACAGGTGGGGCTCTGGAATGCTTTGGGGTTTTATGGTTTTAAGGTTTATGCTTTAGGACTTTAGGATTCATGATGTTTTGAGTGTAATTGGGGTGTGGAGGGTTTTGGGGTTTTGTGGCTTTAGGGTTTAGGGGTTCAGGAAACCACGACCTAGGTTTTATGGTTTAGGATTCATGATGTTTTGGGTGTAGGCTGTGGGCGGTTTGGTGGAGGAACATCGATTGGGTTCACGCCCTAGAGCCTAAAACCCCGAACCCTAAAACCTAAACGACCTGGACCCCAAAAGTATGTAGAATAATAGCCTTTTACAGGCTTTCGGCCATTATTTTACCTACTTTTGGTCCCTAAACCTTAAACCCTATACCCCACACCCTAAAACCTAATCTAGTGGGTTCAAGGGTTTCAGGGCTTAGCTTCGATGCTGCCGCAGGAATTCGGCGGCTGGATTCCCTAAACTCTACCCATAGGCCCCATAGTCGTTCCTTTTGGGGATTACCTGAAAGTAGTTCCTTTTGGGGATTACCTCATAGTAGTTCCTTTTGGGGATTACCTTATAGAATTCTACCTATGAACCCCTCAAAAGGAACTACTTTGGGGCCTTTGGGTAACCTAAAATCCTAAAATTCAACATGTAAACCGGGTTCACGAGGCCCAGGGTTTGGGTTAGCGGTTCGAGCGGTATTGAAGACGGGGGAGGTTTGATTTGTTTTTGTTCCAGGGCAACAGACGGGTTCTCAAACCTAAACCCTACCCTAAGACTCCATGTAATTACCCGACTAGTATAGACTTTGGGCCGAGTGTACTGGTATAGGGGCCACTTTCAAGCCAAAGTTTATACTTCATACGGTTGATGATATAAATCCTGCATGACCCATAATAAGGAATATACCATAATTCCCATAGTTTAGGGTCCTGAAGGTAATGCAGGATTTATATCATCAACCGTAAGCACACAGACCCTCAAAGGGCTAAACAGCTAACTCGCTGTTTCAGGCCCAGTCTGTGGCACTTTCAAAAAGACCCAAAACCCTAAACCCTAAACCCACGGTTTATGGTTTAGGGTTCAGGACTCCGGGCTGGCTGGCGAAGATCGAAATAATCCCAGTTGGAAGCAACTTCGAGCCGGCTTTGTGAATTCCTGCGCATGTGCAAACAGATCCGAGGCATGGACTCAATTGAGCAGTCGGTTTGCGTACTGTGTTCCTGATGGTTGCAGATCTGGCAATGAACCAGTCTTTACGAGGAAATTTGCCGATCATGCAGTCGCACCTCAGCCTGTTCGCCATGCATGCCCTGGCTCTTTCAATCTGTCGGTCACGGCTACAAAAACCTGTGTACTTCGGGAACACAACCCTCACGGCGCATCGGCACGGCATCACCAGGGCCTATCCAAAACCCTTGGACAGACACATTCAGCTGATCAGTGTGTGCGAAATCCGGTACCTTTGCTTTTGGAGCTTTCATCTGCAGGGTCGTCCTGGCTTGGGCGGCTGATGCTTGGCTCAGAAATACTCATGACAAACTATTCGCTTTGAAGAGCTTGGAGCTCCGTTCGCACGTAACTGTTGTTGTGTCCACGAGGGCCCTCATGAACTATGGTGTGTATGTTATGACGTCTAAATGATCAGATGCTTGTATATGATTGTTTGAACATTTGGAACTTGGCTTGGACACCTGCATTGGCCCTCAACCCTAAGCCTACAACTCGTAGGTTCAACAGCAACATCTTGTAATGCACATTTTCGAGACCTTAATAGTCGCCTATAGTATTTTAAGGGGTCCTTAACATACCCCAACACCTTCCGCTAGCTACTAGGAAGTATAAGACCCTGTTATGGATCCCTTGCAAAACTCTTTAAGGAGCCCTTTAAAGGAACCCTACTCTACAAATGAATTGTCTTAGCCCTAAGCCCGAAGCCGCAAAACTGATCCCAAGCCCCATGCAACAGACATGCTTTAGGGTTTAGGGTTTAGGGGTTTAGGGGTTTAGGGTTTATTGGTTAGGGTTTAGAGGTTTAGGGTTTAGGGTTCCAGGATTTAGGGGTTTAGGGTTTAGGGGTTTAGGGCTTAGGGTTTAGGGGTTTAGGGTTTAGGGTTCCAGGGTTTGTTTGGCAGGCCGGATATGATGGCTTCGAGCTGCTGGTGACTCTTCCTGCCACTGGTGTGGCTGGTGGTGGTGGCAGGCCATACCTGCTCGGGGATCCTATTATAAGGACCCCCCAAATACGGTACCCCTACTTAAAGGATCATGGGACTTAGTAACTAGGGTCATTGTGAGGGTAACTATACTTATGACCCCAATTATGGTACTTATAACCTTACTTACTAAGTCCCATGATCCTCCAAGTAATTCTCGGAAATTCCCATATCTAGAGAAGGGAAGGGAGAAGTCGTGCCTGCCTTCCCCTCGGCCCTTGGCCCTTGGCTTTCAGCGATTACTAGGTGTCACTTTGGGAAACTTTTTAATTTCCCTTATGGTTCCTATAGAGGTATCTATTCATAAATACTTTTCAGAGCCCCAAAACCCGTGATACTGCTGATGGCCAAAATCCTGCATGACCCTACGGACTCTAAACTATGGGAACTATGGTATATTCCTTACAATGGGTAATGTAGGAGTTTGTCCATCAACAGTATGAGCGTTCAGGGTTTGGGCGTTTTAGGGTTGAAGGGGGCGCTTTGGTTTTGAGCATGTCTCGAGGTTCAGTGTTTCAGGTTGGGTGTGTGTGCCCCTGTGTGCCCTTGCTTCAGCATCGTACAGCTAGGGAGTTCGAATCCTACTGACTAGAGGTTTGAACCCCACTGTAATGAAGGGGCCCCAGTAATTAGAATGGGTTTGGGTCTATTCTATACTAGAACTATAACAAGGAACCCCCTCAACCCCAATCTAGTTAAAGTCCCCTACATTGTGAAGTAAATGACGTATCTCGATGCTCAAGACTGGACCATGAGATCTCGGGGCTTCCAGATGCAGGAGTTCAGATCCATCTCGTAAAAGCCCAGTATGAGTCCAAGTGAATAATATAGGGGCCTAAATAATTTCCAAAACTATTTTGGGGTTCCTTATTATAAGTTTGGTACAATGGTGCCAAAACCCTATTCTCATGATTCAGGCGCCTGTATTATGTAGTCCTTTAGAAGCCTGAGCAATCATGAGTGACACCAGTCCTTAGGTTTCCTCATGATATTTCTAAGCTTTAGGGTGAATAGGTCTTCGTGCTTAGTGCCCGGACCCGAACTCCCCGAAAGTTACGACTCCAAATGCAAGCTTCTGCGTTCCGACTCCTGCGAGGTGGTCTATGGCCTTCATGCCGCTGGGCAGAAGCATCGCAAGGATTCAGGAAGAGTGGGTGTTAGTGGCTCGGGGTGTCGAAATTTGAGGCAAACTTGCCTTAGGCCTTAAGATTGGGGTGGGGGGTAAGTTATGCTATGACTATATCAACTCTATCATGCTGATACTGTAAAATAAACAGAAAAAGCGACCTACCATGATTACAGGAAGGTTACTTGGAGGGTCGGGGGACTTAGTAGCCGGTTATTTTAGGGACTTATAAGTACCATAACCCCGATTAGGGTCCCTTTTAGGGTACTTACAAGTCTACTTACTACCTACTTACTAAGTCCCTGAACCCCTAAACCCTATAGTACCCCTATAGGGCCCTTTAAAGGAACCCTTAGAATCCCCTTTTAAGGAGCCCTTACTAAGTCCCCCGACCCTCCAAGTAGGGGAGTGAGGTTTGGGCTTAAGGCTCACGGTGTGCACTGGGCTGTTTCGAGCTGGATCTCCAAACCAGGCTTTAGGGTTTAGGCTTCAGGGTTTAGGGTTTCGGGATTAGGGTTTAGGGTTTAGGGATTAGGGTTTAGGGTTTAGGGCCCCCGCAAACCCCAAAACCCACACCCCAAGCCCTGAGCCTTCAGCCGGCAGGCAGCGGCTACATGTATTTGTAGGATTGAGCGCCGCTTTCGGACAGGCTTCCAACATTCGACTTCTAAGCACATATGGTTTAGGTCTTGAGGGCTCTGGCGTTTACGGTAGAGGATTTTGCGGTCTGGAGCTTCGATTTGTAGAGCTTAGGGTTCAGTATGTGGCACGAGTCTGCCGGGTAGGGGGCATTCACTCTATAGAAGGTCTGGTTTCCAGCATACACATGTGGAATGTGGCTTAGACTAACCAATGCCTGAGACGTAAACAAAGAAGCTGCAAACTCAGCAAGAAACCAGCAAGAAGCCCGAACATACTTAACCCCAGTAGCCCAAAACTGCCCAAACCTGACCTTGACCCACCACAACCCTAAACCCTAAATCCCGAAACCCAAAACCCTTTGTGTCAGCCCAAGGATTCCAGCAGGTTTGCCCTACCCGCACGTGTCGCCCCTGCTTTGTCCCAAGTGCGCGCCTCAGGGTTTCTCTACCCGTCTTGCGTTTTTCCTTACCCTGTCATCCCTAAATCCTTTGTGTATGTGTATATATAACGGTTTAGGGCTTAGGGTTATATATATATATATATGTATATTAGGGTTTTCTGGTTTAGTGATTAGTGTCAGGACTGAGCGTATGAGTTTTTATGATTTGGATTTAGGCTCTTGTTTTATCTGGTCTAGGTTTCAGGCTCCAGGGGTTCAGGGTTAAGGCTTATGATGTCTAGTGAGGGGACGGAGATTGCGGGTTTAGGGGTCCTGGGTCCGGGGCTCTTCATCTGAGTTCTTGATAAGGCATGCATTTTAATGCTGCATAATGAGGCAACCGTATTATTTACTATAGAGCCCTATTATGGTAACTTACTTTAAACTTTATATCCGTCAACAAGAACCCAGTCATTGTCATTTGGGCTGGCGGCTCAGGGAATCTTCGGGTACATGGCCCGTAGAGGGTTTGGGATTCAGCTGTTGGGTGGATCCGGCTTATTCGGGATCTGAGGCTTTTTGCTGCGTTTGGCAGAGATTCGTTCTGCAGGTAAGTGTGTTACAAGCTCTCCATGCCAGCGAACGCAGTCAACAAAAAAAACCAAGCCCGAAATCTAAACCTGAAGCTTAGGTTTGAACCCTAAACCTTCCCTCGCAAAGCCAGACTAGAACCCTAAACCTTAAACCCTAAACCTTAAACCTTAAACCCTGAACCCTATACCTTGAACCCTAAACCCTATACCTTGAACCCTAAACCCTAAAGCCTACACCAAAAGCCGAGAAGCTGAACCCTCAGCCCTCAATGAGAGAAGGGGATCCCACGCCGATAGACTTGAGCCCATAAATGTCGTCGCTCTCAATTTAGCCGTTGTGTCTTCTACGCGTGTCTGATGACGGAGCTGTACCTGCTCATCACGGCGGTCCGTTACCCGAATTTTCCAACCGCTTTGTCCCTTCCCCTGGGAACGTGGCTCACCTGCAAATGGCGCAGTGCCAAGCGTACACAGGAGAGCACTGCGGCGGACACCACTCGCCAGCGTGCTGTGTGGCTTGTGCGTCTGCCCCATCGGAGCAAAACCCACATGGCCAGGTGAAGAGTTGCTGGACCTTGTCCTGTTGCCCATAGTGCTGTTATTATACAGCATAACGAGTAATCGCCTTTTCGGCAGTACCCTTATTCCCTTTTTGTAGTCCTAGGTTCCTTATACAGCTACCCAATACCAAAAAGGGAGCCGTTTTTTTCCTAGGTCACGGGGCATCCTAGGAACTCGGTTTAGGGTTTAGGGTCCTCAGGGTTTCGGGTTTAGAGTAATAAGAGCATTATAAGAAGCACCACAGAAAAAGAAGAGGATGAAAGCTGCAACAAACCCTAAAACCCTAAACCCTAGACCCCTAAACTTGAACAATCATAGTTAACCCTCGGCTGCAAGCCCTTATATTCTCCATACGAAGTTGCAGCCAGTTCAAACACAAGACTTGCAGCACGAGCAACAATACGCAGTACCTTCAGTTGCTGATGATGCTGTTGCTGGTGACGAAGATGATGTTGTTTTTGGTGATGAAGATGATGATGACGACGATGGTAATGGTGATGACTCCTAAACCCTAAACCCTAAACCGGTGATGACAATTATGGCACTGCAAACTTTGCGATAGCACCCAAACTACAAACCAGGAATCCAAGCCCCAAGCCGAAGCCCTGACCTCTGGATTTAGGGTTTAGAGTTTGGGGGTTTAGGGTTTAGAGTTTAGGGTTTAGGGTTTAGAGTTTAGGGTTTAGAGTTTAGGGTTTAGGGTTTAGGCTTTCTTCAGCACTTTTTATTGTCATCACGCCTTTTGCAACATGCTGTCCAAGCGAGCATCACATCATGGCAGTGCTGATGATACTGCTGGTGGTGCTAACCATCTAGGTGATGGCGGCTTAAACCCAAACCTTAAGCTCTAATCCCTAAACTCTAGACCCTAAACCTAAACCCTAAACTTTCTCCACATGTGGGAGTTTCCGAAAATGGGGGACCCTAAAATCGTACTTAAATAGTAGGATCCTTATTATAAGGACCCCAAACTAAGGTACCCCTACTTTTCGGAAACTCCACATGCAACGACGCTTGGAGGATCATGGGACTTAGTAAGTAAGGTTATAAGTACCGGGGTTATAAGTATGGTTACCCTAAGTATAACCCTAGTTACTAAGTCCCATGATCCTTCAAGCAGCCTTTGACATCAAGGCACGACAGGCTCCGTGAGGCCAATCGACCGAGGCTTATGGAGGTCCCAAGCCCAGTCTTAACGGACTTGTTCTTAGGGGTCGAGTAGGGTTTGAGGTTTAGGGTTTAGGGCTTAGGTAGGGGCCAGGGTACTACAAGCGGTTCCCTTTTGGGATCTATCAGGGTACTATATGTAAGGGTTTAGCGGAACAGTCTCAAAGGACTTGTGTGTGTTTTAAAGGGCTTAGGGCCTAGGGGATGCTGTAGGGCTTAGAAACTTTGAGGGGCCGCAGGTAAGGGTTGTAGGGTTTTGCCTTTCTCGGATCAATGGTTTGTAGATGATTGCAGCTTCAGAGATTCTCAGGGGCTGAATAGGTAACCTGTAACCTTTTGGGGCTGGTAATTTTGGTAAGGTTTCGATTTTGGCAGAGTTCCTGTCGCGGGTTTCCGTTGCAGGGTCCTAAGGCGTAAATGTTCGAGATGTCTCCCAAGGTGTAGGGTACAGTGGACTTCGAACCCAGCCCAGGGGTAGTCCCTATACTACCCAGCTCCCCAAAAATGCTAGAGGCACCCTCAATCTAATCATTCAAACACTTTGAGAAGCTTCCAAAAACCCACGAAGGGCCGTTGTCGAATTAGACATCCCAGGAGCCCGACCGAAGCCCTAGAACACGAAACCCGATCGCAGGCCATCGGTGAAGTTTGTCGCCAAACTCTGGGGGCGCCGATGTTTTTCATCATTTGCCGCTCGCTTCGACAAGCCAGATCCCGTTGTGGCAACAGAAGGATATGAGGCCCTGTATATTGCCTTAACCTACCAAACCCTACTTTATTGTTGGCTCTTATTATAAGCCCTAATATGGAATTTGTAGGGATCCTACTTTTTTGTAGGTTTTGGTAGGTTAAGGTATATTATATACTCGGGCCTCAGCGGGTTTACTGAGAGCCAGCTTAGGGTCGAAGTATGTACTATGTCAGTATGTGGACGCGTCTTGGTTGTCCTTTGGAAATTATTTACTACTATGGTTCTCCACAAAATAGTAGGGGAAATTGAAAAAGATCCCAAAGGACAACCCAGGCGTGGACATTATACAACACCCAAAACCAATAACAAGCCCCCGAAGATGGACCATTAGGGAGGGTTTAGGGTTTAGGGGTTTAGGGCATTATGTGCTAAAACGCCTGTTCTATTTGGTAACCCTAAGGGGCCATGTACCCACATACGAGATACTTTGGCCCTAAAGTACCTATGTAGGGACTACTTTAAGGCCCACGTATATACTGTGTAGGTACATGGACCCTTAGGGTAAGCCCCCTGCAACTCTCAAAACTATAAACCCGTAAACCCTAAGCTCTATCCTTTCGGAAGCTAAACCCAAAATTCTAAGTCCTAAACCCTAAATCCTAAACCCTAAATCAACCCTAAATCCTAAACCCTAAGTCCTAAACCCTAAATCCTAAACCGGGTTTCTTTCCTAGGCGAGTGGCTGCACGAGAACGGCGATCGCTTTCTCGTTCGCGCCGGCGGAAACTCGCAAGAGGAGAAACTTGGGAGCTGAGGGTTTCGGGTACTACCTTAACTGGGTTCTTGTTAAGGAACTTAATTTAAGTTACCATAATAAGGAAACCCTATTATTTACGATAGATCCCTATTATGGTAACTTAAATTAAGTTCCTTAACAAGAACCCAGTTAAGGACGAAATGAACCTTAAAAGGGTTTAGGGTTCATGTACCATATAGGGATTCATAGTATATGGGTATAGGGCCCCTACTTTTAAGGGTTATTTGGTCCTTCAGGTATATGGTAGAAGCCAGAAAGTTGGAACATCATTGTCCCCATGCCCTTAAGGTAAAGTATAAGGGATCCTAGCACTAATCCTCCTAAAGCCATGTTCCAACTTTCTGGCTTCTACTGTAAGGTTTAGGGTTTCGGGGTTTAGGCTTTAGGGATCTATAACGGTACTACAAGGGTTTAGGGTACTATAAGGGCTTCTCTCTTTGCGGATCTATAAGGCTATAAGGGCTTAGGGGACTATACGGGCTTCCCTGTGGGGATCCATAGCGGTACTATAAGGGTTTAGGGGAACCTGTAACTTTTGGGGGCTGATATAATCCGACCATACTTGGAAAGGTTAACATTGTTAAGGTAAGGGCACTCGGACCCTAAGAGCACAGGGAGCTGGTGCTACGGGGCACCAGGGAAGAAGGACTCAGGTCGACGTAGGGCTGTGGGTGTTTGGGATGTTTCTGGGCTTGTTCGAGTTCGAGTTTTGTCTTTTGGACCTCTGAGGACTGGTGTGAACTAATACTATCCGTAACAGTCCAACTAGCCCGAAGTAGGCACTGTTTTTTGGGTTTCAGACCTCAAAGTAGGTAATCATTGTATGCTTGGAGGCTTAGGGTATGTTATGTGGTGGGGCTTCGAGGGGCCGCAGGTTAGGGGTTGTAGGGATTTGCCTTTCTCGGGTCAGGGGTTTGTAGATCTTTGCAGCTTCAGAGATTAGGGACTCTAAACCCTACATCCTAAACCCCAAAGCCTAAACCCTAAGCCCTAATTTCGTGGTTTTGGAGCGAGTTTTGGTGTAGGTTTCGTTTGAATGGGTCAGGGTCGGTGTTATGTAGGGGTTTGGGCACGTGTGGGCTCAGGCTGTGAAGCATTCACCCCCCTGGCTTCAAGTTTACTTTGGGTTGATGCAAGTAGAGGAAGTAACCTTTATCCTGAACCCCCAAAGGATCCAAATAACAGTAGGGAAAATACTCTGGCGGCCCAAATATCTACAAAGAACCTGTAAAAATTGGTGTTTGGACTAACTTGGACCTTGTGAGGAATGGACACTTCCTGGAAGGGTGCTTTAACGCCTCCATCATCCCAAAGGTCAACCTTTAGAAGGGAACTGGACAAGCAAGATGTTTGTATAAACACCCCGACAGAGCCCTATGACTATGACATTAGGTACGTTGAATAATATTCATAATCTAGATATATTAGGACCTTAATTGTAGCCCTATTATAGACTCTTACTGTATGGGGGCCGTACCCAACTATAACACCGATATAAGGACCCCTAGGTATATACCCTGAATATAGCCATTATGCCATTATATATCCATTATATAGCCCATTATAGGGTAGGGGTCCCCATTAAGGGTCCCTCCTTTTCCCCTTTTGATTCTAGGACCCAGAGCGACAGACTGGTTCAAAGCCCAACTTTTCACCATAAAGGCAGATGAACATCATCCCAAATCGATACCCTAAAACCCTAAATCGATACAACTCTTGGGGCTGTTATTAGGTAGTAGGTGGTCTCTGTCTGAAACTTTACACTTTTCACCCTGTGGATATTTGTGGAAACCCAGCTGTTCTGTTACAAGGCAGTCCTTATTAGGGTTTAGGGGTTAGGGGTTTAGGGTTTAGGGTTTAGGGTTTGCACTTTTTTGACCCCATGGGCATTCGGGAAGTATAAGGCCGATTACGCCCTACATCCCCATCCGGACTCCCATGAGCCGAAACCTTACATCTGCGCCTCAATTAAACCCTTGACACCATGCCAAAATCCCTATAGAAGCATGGTTTGGGGTTTAGGGTTTCGGGTTTTGATTAGTAGTTTAGGGTTTAGGGGGGTGTACAAAAAATAGAGCCACATACGACCCTGCAGAACCCTTATACAAACCAGAAGCCCTCCAAGGAGCCAGTTGAACCCTTGACCCCATGCCAAAATCTCTATAGACACGTATATTCCCTAAACCCTATACTATACCTCCTAAACCCCAAAATGCTTATTACCATCCATATATATGTGTATATATATATATATATATATATATATTCCCTAAACCCTATAAACCCTAAACCCAAAATGCTTATTACCACATGAAGCTGTCCAGAAAAACCCTAAACCCTAAACCCTAAACCTCGAAGGAGCCAGCGGAAGCCGAGGGCGTCCGCGGCACGCAGCGCGACATGGCGGTGCAGCGGGCTTTGAACGACTCGGAGGCGAAGGTCGGTGGGCTTACTTGGAGGATCATAGGCCTTAGTAAGTAAGGTTATAAGAGTTATAAGTTCCGTAATCGGGGTTATAAGTATACTTACCCTAATAATAACCCTAGTTACTAAGTCCCATGATCCTTTAAGTAAGACTACGGCGCTTGAGCGCGTCGGAAGGGGGGGGGAAGGTTGTGACGTCTTTTAGGGTTTAGGGCTTAATTAGAGATTCAACGTTGTAGGCCGCTTGTGATTTTGGCGCTTGACAGCATGAGGTGCTTAGGCGGTCACGTGTTTTTCGGGTTTAAGATTAGGGCTTAGCTCTTTTGGGCGATGGGTCTAGGCTTTTTTGGTTCAGAGTTTGGGGTTAGGATTGCCATGGTACGTAGTTATAGTCGGACCTTCGTCGTGTTCATTTTTGAAAACTGTAGATCTTGAAGCATAAATCCTAAACCGATCGATTCGTACATCCCTGAATCTCTGAGCTCGTTTCCTGATTTCACATTTCGCTCAATTTTGCCACCTCAGAGCCTTATCATGGTCACGAAGGCCCCGATACTACACGGCTCCTTGGGACGTAAGCCCTAAACCCTACCCCCTAAACCTTAAACCTAAACCGTAAAACTGGCTCTAAACCCTACGCGGATTCTCGGGACACAGGCTCAGAGAGAGCAAGAGGATGCAGACGAGCGGGCCAAAAGGGTGGAGTTACCCGGCTGGTCCTTGGGTTTTAGGGCGGTTTAGGGTTTACGGGTTAGGGTTTAAGGCTTTAGGGTTTAGGGTTTAGGGTTTTAGTTAGGACTTGAGTGGTTCGTGTCCTTGAGGGTCCTGGATTTCCAATCTCAGGATTCACGACTTAGGGTTTAAATGGGTTTTCTGGAATGAGTCGTGTTGAGGTTTTCTTGTTTCGAAGACACAGAGTTTAGGGGTGCAGATATTTGTCATTGTGGCAGCTGATACATCTTAGGCGCCTCTTGCTGCTTGCAGGCCAACTGTTTATTGTTTTTATAGGCATCGGAACCTTTCTTGAAGTCATGCAGATGCGGCGTCCCTTTGAACATGTGGATATGTACACGGCCCGATAGAATTGTTCGCCTCGCATGCCCCATACGGTGTGAGAGGCACAGGGGACTGACAGGCTTTTTCGATCAATCACAGAACCCTTCACGTCGCCACTCTGGTAACGGTAGCAACCCTTGTAGTCATCCTAAACCCCAAGCCGTCGTAACCCTTGGATGAGGAGACTGTCAACATCTGGTTAGCCGAGGTACCTGCAGCGCTGCATGGCGGAGGAGCAGTTAGAATTGCTAGATTGTCCGGAAAGACTATGTATGACTACGTTATGTAGATGTATGGAAAAATCCAGTAGCCTCCAAAAGCGGTCTCAGCAAGTTAAAGCTTTACCATCGTGATACCTAAAACATCCAGGTCTGCGTCTGCAGAATTACTGTTTAATACCAACAGTAGCGTTGATCTGCCACGTCAGCAGGGCCGTAAAGTAGGCTTACTTGGATGTCCTCGTACGATGACAGCCCTCGAAGATACAGCCAGAGCATGCAGCCGATAAACACCCAACAATCTGAAAAAAAACTAAAGCCACAGCCCTATACTTAAACTCCTTTCGCCAATACCTATCCCACCATAAGATTGGTAATTATTTAGGCCCCCCATATGATGGTATCCTTATAGATCCCTTATAGTAACCCTTACAGACTCCTTTAAAGGAGCCCTAGGGACCCTCGCGCCGAACTTCCTTGAGGTCCCAGCTATCTAGGGCAGCCTCAGAGTCAGGAGTCAGAGGGGACCCCAAAAGGGATACCAGAGGGGTTTTGAAAATTTACCTATACTGTTTTTGGAGGTTCCCTTTTATAGTTACCGTGTCATGGGCCCCAAAAACCCTATTCTAAGTGCTAAGGCCCTTATTTTACTTCATGAAGAGAATCCAGCATCTCCCCCTAGCCTAACAACAGTCTCTCCGCCTTGAGTTTTAGGCTTTCGGGCTTCGGAAGAACCCTCAACCCCAGAAACCCTGGATCACGAGGCGCCATTGCACACGTTAAATCTGCAGGTTCTCTGTGACTTGACGAGGTCTTTTCAAAGATCATTCATTAACTAGAGTCTCCTTAGATCCCTAACACCATATTCTAATATTAAGTCAAGTTTTAAGTACGGCTTTCGCAGGGAGTACTAGGACCCTCTGGGTAAGGTAAGGCAACCTGACTTCCGCCAGCCGTTTCTGGACCAGACAAAGGGGGTCTTGACAGCGCTCGGCTGCCCACCTCTCGCCCAAGGCGTGAGCTCCAGCCGCGAGCGGCAAGAAGATGGTTTAGGGCTTGGGGTTCATGGGGGTTTAAGGTTTCTTATGGGTTTAGGGCTTAGAGTTTATATATAGTGGTGTGAGGTTTATGGGTTCAGGTATTTTGGAATCTAGGTGTTTAGCGTAATTAGGGTTTGGGGTTTATAGGGGTTTAAGGTTCATTATGGGTTTAGGGGTTGGGGATGTAAGGGTTTAGGCTTTTATACGGTTTAGGAGTTTAGGGGCTTAGGGGTTTAGGGTTAGGGGATTGGGATATAATAGTGATTGTAGATTAGGGTCTAGGGTTTGGGAATGTCATGTGAATGTGGGTTGAGGGTATACTAGACCCACAATTGCAGTTCACCTTAGAGCTCTCCCTGGTTTTGTTGAAATATCCTTGGAGGGTCTAGGTTGGGCCTGCAGTGTTCGGGTCTGGCCCCGTGGATGTAGCTGGATTGGTGTTGCTTGGGGATGATCCCAAAGCAGATCCATGATAAGCGCCATTATGGTATCCGTTCCGGCGGCGCCAAGAAGCACACGATGTCTTGCTTGGAGTGCAGTTTTCGGCCCCAACAGATCCTCGAATTGCGCCTTACGTACGGGATGATGCTGTTACTATTAAATCCTTTAGACTTGGCAGGCATGGTCATGAGTCATAAGTAGGATTAACTATAAGGCTGCAGGCAGCCCCCCCAACTAAGACAGTGGGACCGCGTACCATGCACTGAGTGTTGTCCTTACACAAAGATGCTTTAGAGGGTAAAGGATTCACGGCGAAGGTAGCCTGCTCCCGCCTCAGGTTCCTAAACCCCAGACACCTAAATCCCGAATTGGTCAAACCCCTCAACCCTGAAGAGACAATCTCCTAAACCCCTACTTAAAGGATCCTGGGACTTAGTAACTCGGGTTATTATCAGGGTAACTATACTAATAACTACTTATAACCGCAGTTAGAGTACTTAAAACCTTACTTACTGAGTCCTACGACCCTTCAAGTATACCCTACAGTAGAAGCCCAAAAGTTGGAAACCCCATAATTAGCCTCAATCCTTAAGAGTCATGTATAGGGAATCCCAGCACTATTTGGCCTTAACCCGGTTTCCAACTTCCAAGTATACCCTAAACCCTAAACCATATAGATCCCTTTAAGGAACCCTACAGATCCCAGCACCTTTAAGGAGCCCTTTAAAAAACCCTTACTAAGTCCCATGATCCTCCCTTTAAGGAACCCTTGAAGCTGAGGACATGTCTTCCTCGGGCCTCGTCGCTGGCGATCCGGCCAAGCAGTGGGATCCCTGCCCCGCACATTTTTTTTGTTTTTCTCGGTTTAGGGTTTAAGGTTTAGGGTTTAGGGTTTTAAGGTTTAAAGTGCTGTTTCTTTGAGGTTCTGGGTTTGGGGTTTTGTTAGGTCGAGTCCCTAAACCCTAAATCCTGATACTTGTAGGGTTTGGGGAGTTTAGTGCCTTGGGCTCAGGGTTTAGGCTTGGGGAGCCGGGGCGAGGGTGCTTTTGGGCTTTAGAGGCGGGGGTTTCGGGTTTAAGATCCGTGGGTTCAGGTCGAGTGAATTTCGGGCTTTGTTGTTAGCTTGTTTCGGGTGCTGCTAAGTCTTCAGTGTCGGCACCCCTTGGATACATGTGCTCTTGACTTGGGCATTGCTGGTGGCAGCTTGTAGAGCCCGGTAAGCCAATACCCCCCAAGCCGTAAGCCCATACGCTGAAGCACAAACCAAAACGAAAATACTAGACTAACAAAGTTAAAGGAGCCCAGTCCAGGCATTGGTTGTGATTTGGGGCCTTGATCCCCGTAGCGTGAAGGTGCCGATTCCGGTTCATCTAATTTCTTGCTATGGATGTTAGTTTAAGTTTCTGTAACAGAGATCTATAGTAAATAGGTTTCCCCTGTTATTGCACATGAAACTAAAGTCTAAATTCCTCAACCGCATTGCCTCGGCTGAAATTGTGTTTGACCCCGTGAGCAGTTTGGATGTCCGGGATCGTAATTCAGGTTTATCTGATACCTAAAGCCAAACCTTAACCCCAAATCCTACGTCTCACTCCATGGTCTTTGGCTTTTAGCTGCCCGGCACGGCCTCTGCGCCTTTTTGTTGCCGGCTCTGCGCTTTTCTTCGATGCAGGGTTGGCGAGAAATTTACTATGCCGGCCAACGAGGCGGAAGGAGCGTGCGGAGAGAGGTGAACTGGGGCCCTCAGCCAGTGCAAGTGCGTCCCGGCTTCGAGGTGCAGGCTGGGACGGAGATTCCGCTGCCGAACGCGGTGGCTCCACGGCCGAGTGGCCTTTTTGCCGCTGCTCCTGTGCCTCTGATTGTGGGGCCTCGTCCGGTGGCTATGCCAGCTGCGCCACTGGTACCTGAAGCCATGGCATAGGTCTTAACTCGCAAGGGTTGTGTGCAAGTATTATAGCGTAGATTTATATTACTTGCAGAGCTCTCTATCGCGATGTTTTTAGGGCCACTGTAAGACTGAGTTCTGCCTGCGGTAAGCTCCCAAGCCGGTGAGACATTCCCACAATCCACCAAGTAGACCTCACACTAAAAACCCTTATCCTAATTTCCTTCAGCCCAATACCGCAATCTTAACGGCTAAATCAAACCCACACCTTGCCCCTCAAGCCTTAGCCCGAAGTCCTGCATCCTGTACACCTCAACCTTACACCCTAAGCTCTGAACCTAACCCTAAACTCTGAACCCTCAACCCCTAAACCCCAATATCCTCAACTCCTGAACCCTGTGAACCCTAGATCATCCTAGACCCTAAACTCAATACCATGTGCACTCTAAACCCTGAACCCTGCAGCCTAAACTACGAAACGCTAAACGCTGAACTCCGAATCCTAAACCCTAAACCCCTAAACCCAACACCCTTAAACCCTAAACCCCTAAACCCTAAACCCTAAACCCTTATAAATCTTAAACCCCTAAACCCTAAAACCGTAAACCCTAAAACCCTAAAACCTTAAACCCTATTCCCTAAACCCCTAAACCCTAAACCCGTAAAACCCTAAACCTTAAACCCGTAAACCCACACCCCACAGCCAGAAACCCCCGCAGTCTGCCTTCAAAGCCTTGGCAAAGGAATGGCACGAGTCCTACAGCTCCTCGCCGGTGGGCTTCGGGGTTTAGGGGTTCCTATGAAGGGTTCCTATAAAGGGATCCTTTAAAGGGATCCTCAGGTAAGGGTTCAGGGTTTAGGGTTTAGGGTCTAGGGGTATTGGGTTTAGGGTTTAGGACTTAAGGGTTTAGGGGTTTAGGATTTGGGGTCTGGGGGTGTTGGGTTTAGGGGTTAGAGAGGTTAGAGGGTTCTCGTACGGGCTGGCCATGCAATTTATCATCCAAAGTACCTAGTACCCGTATTCATTGCCGCTATGAAGATCAAGTACCCAAGCCATGATCACGGTTTCCTTGGATGTACCTTCGCCAACTAGGATGCCCAGTAGTACCCTTATTCCCTTTCTGTAGTTCCTTATAAAGTTACCCAATACCGAAAAGAGTGGCCTTTTTATTCTTAGGTTACTGGGTATCCTAGCCAAGGAGGTAGACGTGTGGAGCTTATCTTTTGTAGAAGCTCAGGTTCTCTTCGACGTGCCAGTTCTATCGGTGCTGAGTCCCTAAACCCTAAACCTTAGGTACGGCCCCCATACAGTAAGAGTCTATAATCGGGCCACTATTAAGGGCCTACTATATCTATATTACGAATATTATTCAACTATTACTGAGTGGGGGCCGTACCTAACCTAAGCCCTAAACCCTAAACTCCTAATCCCCACGTAGATGGCAGAAGCCAAGACCCGCCTCGAAGTGCTGTAAAACCCCCTCTGACATCCTGGAAAATAGGGTTGAGGGCTTAGGGCTTAGGGTTAGGTTTAGGGCTTAGGGTTTAAGGTTCAGGGTTTGGAGTTTTAGGGTTTGGAGTTTTAGGAAAGCTGAAGGTGTTGGAATGACTTGCCATTTCGATCATTCATTCGGTGTTTAAGGTTTACT